TGCTTCTTTGCCTGGGACATATGGCTGTATAAAACTCACATTACATGAGGTATAATGTAAGACGCCCCGAGGCTTTGGCGAATGGGGCGGCATAAAAATATTTTAATAAATAAATAAATAAATTTTCATACCACCCAATCGCCAAAGCTCTCTGTGGAGTTGGGAAAAGTGCAGAGAGAGAAAACTAAAGCAATCAGGTTCCAAAAAGAACAACACTGATTGGGTTTGCAAAAACAGGTGAAACCACAGTAGCTTTGAAGTCATGATGGTGTAGCGAGTTCTCTGCACTTGGGATGGTTTTGGGAAACAGGATCATAGTATGTATACAGGTTGTCTCAGGATTTAATTGCTATTTTGAAGGTTTTAATATTTTCTAAACTGCCAGGAAATGTTAGCTACTGGGCAGAAAATAATTATTTTTGAAAATGTGACTTACAACACTGTGCTTCCCTATAGTCTTCACCACCTCTTTAGGTGGCAACAAAATGTGCTGCCCAGGGGATCCTGCATCCACTCCCATCTCCCGATTTCCTAGGAATTTTCGAACTTAAGCATGTTGTAGTGACTGAGTATGCACGATCCTCATTAGGCCGGAGGATCATAGCTTACACGCACATAGTGTGTGTCTCTGCTAACTGTAGAGGTCCTGCAAGCGTGCAGTTAACAGCCTCTTGTTCCTCAGTCCCCCTGTTTGGGCTGCCAACGACCCCGTTAGCGCTCGCCTCTTAAACTCCTTAGATTAAGAAACAGGAAGTGCTGCCAAGGACCCTCGCAGATGCAATGCCAGCGATAGGCAGCAGGTGGCGCTAGGACACCGGACAGCTATTGGCAAGAAGGATTTCCCACGTATTTAAACTAAATCAAAGATTGTTTTTAAAAAACAAACTTACCAGTTGTTTTCTGCGGTTTTTCATTCATTATGAGAGTCTCTGGAATGGACCACTGCCGTCGCTCTCTCTCCGCAAAAGTGAGAGCGAATGCAGGTAGTGAAGACAGATGTGGCGGCCTGAAAGGTCACTGCCCCACCCTCCTGCAGTCCACCTGACGTGCTGAAATAAAGGCACAGGGACCTTGAAGAGCCCTGCTGCCCCTGACCCCCGTCCTCCGCATGAGCTGACCTTTTGCCCATGGATGCTTCACCTGTTTTGTAGAAGCCACCACGAAATAGTTGCTAGGTGACAATGCCCAATCCCACCTGCTCAATTAATCAGTCATGGCTCTGCTAAATGAAGTAGGTAACATTATTTGGTGTTGGCATCTCTTGGAAGCCAGTGGCTGCCTAGCTGACTGAGCCCACCTGTAGCTGTTGGACAGGGGTTCACTTTTAGGGTGGCCACTTTTGTGTTGCCAAACAATAGAAATGCATCATGCTCAAAAAGAGGTCATAGATGCACACTGAATGTGCATATGCCAATCTGTGTATGGATGGACATTTAGAAATAGATGCTGCAATTGAAATAGCAATACAGGAGGAAAGGCAGTGCCCGCATGCTCCTTGCAGATGGGTAAGGGCTGTCCTTCTTTATGGTGCTCTGACTAAACCAGGCTTGGACTGGACATCTCCTCAAACAGAGGACTTTTTTTAATGGAGGACCATCCTCTGTAAAGTATGAGACACGGTCACCCTAATTTACAGAACAAAGGGATACCAGGTCCAAGAAGTGGCTGCCCAGGTCCATTCAGGAAGAGGTGAAACACAGTCCGCGGTGCCTTGTTAAGGGCATTGCGTGAGGTGCCTGATGACAGGTAATGGCAGAACCCATCCTGAGCATACCTCTCTTTTCTGCAAGAGATGAGCCCAGTGGATACCCAGCAGGCTTAATCTGGAGGGGGGAGAAAGGCAGGTTGCTTACCTGTAACTGTCTTCTTCAAGTGGTCACCTGTGCGCGCACACATAAGGGTCCGCTTTTGAATACAGGCACTGCGCAGGCACAGAACCCATGTGCATGATGTGCACAGATCTTGAGGAAGAATGTATCTTTGCAGACAGTAGGTGTGTGTGGTGGGAGAGACCATTTTTAAATGCTTCCCAGGTTAAAAAGTATTATCTGGGAGCAGAAAATTTGCGTACCGTGGATAAAGTTTTCAGCTCAACTTACTTCCTGATGTGCTGCTGCTTCTTTTAGGGAGGCAATTGTTTCTTCCTTACAGTCTGAAATCACAGAAACACAGAAGCTGGAAGGGGCCAATGAGGCCATCAGGTTCAAGCGGCTGCTGAATCCAGGAGTCCAAGGTAAAGCCCCAAAGCATGGCATGATCAAATCTACCATCTCATGGCTCCTTCCCCTCATACTTTTTGGAAGCTCTGGGACCAGCTGAGCACAGGCCTCGCAAGTTTGCACTTGCCTCACTGCCAGACAGTCCCCCAACCTCAAACTTTCCTGCTTAGGCTTTGATTTCTTCAGCTGTCTCTTTTCTACTCTCAGCTCCTACCAACTACTTTATTATCAGTTGTTGTTGGATTTATATCCTGCCTTGTTCCCCTCTTGTGAGGAACCCAAGATAGCTAACATAGCTCAATTTTTATCTTTACAACAACCACCCCGTGAGGGCTTAGATATCCCTTTTTTTAACCTCTTGCAAAAAATCCAAGCTGGCTTGCACGGTCCTCCTCCTCCTCCTCTCCATTTTGTCCTTACCACAACCTTGTCAGGCAGGCTGCCTTTTTCCCCCTGCTGCTCTGCGAAGCAACTACTACTCACTAGAGCACCGTGGCTCTAGAAGTACACTGCAGGATGTTTAAATCATCCCTAACCAGCAGCCATGCTGGCTCAGGCTGAGGTTCCAAATGCAGAAGGCTGGTTTACTCCCTTCCCTTCCATCTCTTTCCTTCAGGGTGTGCTTTCTTCTTTCAGATGTAGCTTTCAAGTCACAGCTTCTCTTCTGATTAGGAAAGCTAAAACTTATTTCTTCTATTAAGGTTTTTGCCCTGCAGAATAACCATTCACTTTCTACATACAAGCTGTGTGGGTTTGCAAACTAGCTATCAGCAGCTTTTATTCACACAACAAAATGGTTTGCAAACATTCTACATCACATCCGTTCAGCCTAGAAGATTCACCACTCCAAAATCCTTGATCACTTTTACAAGCCAGATTCTGGAACATTATGAGTATTATACAGAAGAAATAGATGTTTTAGTACTGAATCCAGTATTAATTTGAATGGGAGAACTGTAGGCCTCTCTGTGCTAGAATGCTTCATCAATGTGCAAGGACAAGAAACATCTGTGAGAACTGCCACAACCCTTACGATGACTTACAATTTGACAGTGATCATTTGGGCACTTGATTTTGATTGTGATGGACTTTAAAAAATGGTGGTGTGTTAGTCAATCGAATGGGCACCCTCTCAGCTCCAAGACAACTTTCCACGCTTCACCCTGAATCAGACGTTGCTGCACTTATCTGCCAAGTATAGAGACCTTCCTTTCTCACATCCACCCAATTCTTCCCTACAACCTGATGACTCTGCTCCTCCTGCTGGGCTAGAAACCAACATTCCGTATTTTCCTCTAGATGGAAAATAGGCATTTCTCTTAGTGGGTCTTCTGTCTTGAAACAACAAAAATGGTGTTTCCAATAGGAAAACAAGGCGGGAAAACAAGTCAGACAGCCACATTAAGTGCTTCCTCCCCAGTAAGCACTGCAGGAGGCAGTGTTGTTGCCTAGAGACAAGACTCTATGGACTGCCATGGAACCAGCGAGACACAAGCAGTTCAGAGATAGGAATGCAAGACAGAAAGTGGGTAAGGGAAATCCGCCCATTCTTCTTTTGCTACATGCAGAGACCCTGTGCTGATTAACCAGGACTGAATAACAAGATCATTTCACATCCTCATCCCAGTACCGGACAATGAATTCATAAAACCAAACAAAATATTGCAGTGCAGAAAAGAGCAAGTGGCAACCTCACCCAAGGGGATGGATTATGCCTCTCCCTTGTTCCTATAATTCCTTCCATTTCTAATGTTCAGGTATGAGCATTGCTGCCCAGATGGCACCATCCACACATGAGGGAGGTGCTGGCAGGCTTGGTGGAAGGGGCAAAATTTGCAGTACGTGTGGTTTTGTGAGAGTTCCCCCAGCCACTGCTCAAACGGAACAAAACACCCAAGAATAGCCCCGTGAGTTCAGATTATGCTCCCTGGGTAGAGAATGCTGACTGCTGGGCTGGAAAACTGGATATTGGCCGGATCGGGGGCAGGGGGGTGGAGTACTGTATAAGAGAGCATGGTTGCCAGCTGACTAAAGGGGTAAGCAGAAATAATTCACACTGCAACATTTTGTTACAGGTCTAGCTTGTAAAGTTATTTATGTGCTATTCAGTGTAGACAGGACTTGATGTTCTTATTTATTTTATTTATTTATTTAAAACATTTTTATGCCGCCCCCATCACAACAAAGCCTCGGGGCGGCTCACAACAAGTACATAATATAATTGTTCTACAAACACATTTTATAAAGTACATTAATGCAAGATCTTCCATTTTAATAAAATTTTGGAGTAGTCTGCCCCACTTCTTCTTGTTGTATTTTGGACCCTTTGCTGCATGCAAGCAGATGGATGAGTTCAAGAATATTTATCCTTTTAAAAAATTTACTCTTTGGCCAGAAAGGACAATAGATAAGGGAAATACATCCTGATAATATTACAGGGATTTTCTATCTTTCCCAGAAAGGAAGTCCCCTAATCAGGGATGCTGCCCCACCTGGAGGATGGACTAAATGAGCTGCCCTAGTGTGTCTTGGATGTTTCCAGACCACCACCACCCCCCTGCCAAAAAAAAGAAGGGGTAGAGAGAATGCTTCTGATCTTCAAAGCAGACTAGACTGGAGAACAGCTAAAAGCTTCCTCACATACTTAACTTCTTCTCTTTGTGGAACAAAGGAGGAAAATGTGGTAAATGGGATAGAAATGCCATGCCTGCTCTAAAATATGATGAATGGAAGAACTCAATACTGCTTGCCTACATTATTATGAACAAAGCAGGCATTTCGTATGTTTAGTTTAGGAGTTTATTACAAAAAGCCTATATATATATTAAAACATGTTTATCTCTGCCTGCCAACGGGTCTCTAAGGCAGCTTACAATTAAGACACTATACAATTTAAAAATAAATCAGAAGAATGCACTCTTAAAATCAACTTGCCCTGTCCCCAATTAGGCTCAGTGCCCCATACCTGTGAAAACATTCCTAATTAGGAGTCTGCCAAATATGCATTCAGGCTTCACATTAGCTACTATTCACCGAGTTATGTAGCTGGATAGAAACAGGGTCTACAAAAAGTCACAGCAGGGTTCCAGCAGTTCCAAGAAATCCCCCCTCCAATCTGAGAGTGAGGCACAAAAAACAAAATGGAAAGGACATCCCCGGGGGCTTGATTCTCTGCAGCAGGCTTCAGGGTCCTGCGAAGCAGAGCATGACTCATTACTCTTGTGGATCACTTCTCTTGCTATTCAGCTCCCATGTTTCTGGAAGCCTAAAGGAAAGAAAAGGTGGCACAGGGTAACAAAATGACACAGGTTGTAAACTGTTAAGAAAGTTTTGGCTCTTGGGCAGATCAGAACTCGCATGGGATGAAATGGCATCTGCAACTGCTTTCTGAGAATATCTGCACCCAAGTGGGTCAGCCTTTCCCTAAATCTAGCTCATCGGCTAGCATGACAAGGAGGGCGATAACTCCTGGCCAGGCTTAATGTTCCGTTAAGCTTCGCTATTAACGAAGAAAGCAGTTGAGAGGGGTGATGGAATCATCCACATCTAAGATTACAAAAGAGATGGACAATTAAGTTGCATTCCTGAATAATACATTATCTCTAAGGGGTTGGGGTTAGGGTCACATCATGACCACTCGCCGCAACATACTGCCATGATGACCCCACAGACACTCGGGCTCATCCGGGTTGCTTTCCTCCTTCCCCCTTCCTCGCACACTCTCACTCATCCTGGCGGTACCCCAGGGGACGTCACGGGGGGAGCGAGGCTTCTCTCTCAGATAGCGGCAACCGTGACCCGAGCTCATCTTGCAGCAGCTCCCAAAGCACCTGCACTGGGCACACGGGACTCCTGCCCAAAAGGCACAACTCTGAAGAAGACATCTGGAGCAGAGCGGGAGTGTCTCATCCGCTCTGCGCTGCGGGGGGATCTGGCTTGATGGGGATGCCCAAGAACCATGCTGAGCCTGGCATGCGGCTCCTGGTACCTGCCTTGGAGTGCGGTGCTCAGGCAGCTTCAGTAACAGGGCAGACATGCATCCTCTTGGGCTCCACCAACCTTGGGGCAGCCGCTGGAACACGTGGTCGCCTCTCACCACACCTGCCTGAGCACCTAACTCCAATGCTAGGGAGGTTAATGGGGGGAGGCGCTCAGTGACGATGACATTCTCAGTACAGGGCACCCATGCTGGTTGCTGCTTGAGAGAAAGCTGCCCTGACAGGGGCCGGGTTAGGAAGCCCAGCATGCACAGGTTCCAATCCTGGTTCTTGTCCCATTCCAAGAGAACCATTTGGCTTCTTCCATGATGGGCTGTTTTGTCCAAGACTGGATGACCAAGCAGTGTGGCAGAGAGAAACCCTAGAACAGCCTGTGGTGTCTTCTCATGGTTGACAGTGATCGTGACTGGGTTTGGCCCATTTTTAAAATCACTGCTTTGGTCACAAAGACTACTCCACCTTGTTGTCCATGCAATGTTTTCTGTCAATCTGCACACCATTCCATCCATTGTGTCCTGATTTGAGCCTGGACTATGGGTGAAAATTTAATTGCTACCTCCGTATACATAAACTGCAGACAGATAAGAACAAATCTGATGTAGGGTAAAAGTATCTCCTACATTTGAAATGAGCTGGGAACCATGGCTTGTGTTCCTTAGGAGAGAGAGAAGCAAGAACATCTATGAAGAGGACACAAAAAGGATTGCTTTTTAAATTGTCACACCTTCATTAAACTGAAGGAAATTACTCCTGTGCAACAGTTCTCTACAGTGAAGATGTAGAAAAAGAACAGAGCGTGAGCATCAACAGCCAAGTTCCATCATCAATGCCTCCTCTCTCACTGGTCTGCCTGTGTCTCCCCACTCATTAGAGTCTATGGCAGACTGGACAACAGTGTGGCAGTCACTGTGACCCTAGCAAGAATGTCTGGGCAGAATGACTCATGTCTCCGAAGGCTTAGAACAAATGTGTACAGATACGGTGTGCACGGGGGTGGGAAGAGACACGACACAGCAGCGTGGTGCCCAAGTGATGGCTGCTGAGCCTCAGAAATCGCCTCCCTGGCTACATTTCTCCTGCCAGGGCTGTTTTCTGGCGCTGAAGCTCAGCTAGGTGAAAAGTGGTTGGGGGCAGAAACTAGTCCGTGTTCTTCCCTTATCTTGCCATGTAAAAACTGCACCCTCCACTTTTCAGCTGTGCAGCAAACAGACCTTTTAAGGAGCAGGCTGTATGTTACATTGCACACACTTCAAAAAAGAAGAAAACGCTTTTCCCTGTTGTTCCTCTTCTCCTTTAAGGAAAACCTGCTTTGTAAGGCCATCTGGACTTGGACCTTGGACATCTGAGTTGTGACCTTATGCCAACTTCTTGCAACCCCCCCCCACCCCCACCCCTCTTGCTATTTGCTGCTCTTGAAGGCACTGTTTATGGGGAATGGGACACATGTAGCTGTTTTGCCTTCAACATAAAAGCGGTCAACTGAAGCAAGTTTCATAAGGAAAGCGAAGCATCCAATGGGCTGTTTGCCCAAGCAAATGAACCTGCTGCGACATTAAGTCCCACTCCCTTGACCTGAGAGGTGGAATCTGGAGAGAATGCGGTGGGTCTCTACATCTTACCTAGGGTGCTACCCTGAGGTCCACGGAGTCATAGGCAGATGTCCTCATCCGCTCGAGAGGCCTCCTCAGGACTGTTCGCAGCTCTTCATAGTCTGGCCTCTCCTCATAGTCCAAGGGCATTACTTGCTGCAAGTAGCTTTGCAGGGCTTCTAGAAAGGTATTATGGATGTTTGTGAGATACGGCAGGCTCCTACAAGGCAGCGTGCCGCATTCCCTCCTTCACGTACTGCTGACTCAAAGTACCACTCAGCTTGGCCGTGTGCTTCTGACACTTTACAAAAACCAAGTAATGACTCCACCGACCTCACAGGAAAACCAAGGATGCATTTCTTTTTTATTTACTTACAACATTTTTAAGCTGTCTTGGTAAATAAAATTCACAAATTCAGTTATGCTGAAGTAAAAAAGTAATAAGAGCAAAAGGCAATAATACTAAGATTACTGTACAATTCAAAACAGAACGAATACATCAGCAATTTAAAAAAAACTTCAGTTTATTTCAAAAAATGGAGGTTAAAAATGCCTGCTGGAAAAAAATGTAACCTGTCCAATAAAGTGAAAGTACCATGAGGCTAAACAAACTTTCTCGGGCATGCTGTGCATGGTCTCAGTGCCACCACAGACGAGGCCCTGATCCTCACGCCCACCCACCATATTTCTAATGGCATGGAAACAAAGAGCAGGAATTCAGCAGATGATCTTAAGGGCTGGGTCCCACATTATCCAACAACAGCAAAGGCACAAAGACAACCTAAGTCCCCAGGTCCTGGCCTCAGGATGTGCCCACCATAGCATGATGCTACACAAACCATTACACTACACTGCAGGGTCACTGCCGTAGGGACAAGTCAGGGGGAAGCATGAAGTGGCAAAACAAACATTGGTTCTGGAGCCTATCAAACACGCATTTCTGTCTGCAAGGAGAGTCGATCTCCCCCTGTCCCAGCCAGCAGTGCCCTTGCCGTGCAGTGAAAGAGAACAGCTCAACTGATCCACTGCTCCCTTCACCAGCTCACACATGACAGCTTTTGTCTCAGGGAGGGACTGCCTGCTGATCTGTCTCAGCAAGAGCACTGAGACTAACCTCTTGCTATATGCAAAATGACAAAAATATGACTAACTAGAACTAACTGTGTGTATGACAGCTTGATGGCCAAAAGGCAGGAGGAGGAGGGAAAAGCAAGGCCTGGAATAAAATTATAGATAACAGAGAAAGATAACTGACTGATTATTCTTGTAATAATCCAGATTAAGTCATTCCAGACAATAGGATATGAAAGCAGTTAATCCGGACAAGTGGCAGATTTGTTGATAAAGCAAAAGCTAAGTCTGCTGTGGCACAGTAGCTGGAGCAATCTTCCTCAACTCAGTGCTGTCCAAATGTGTTGGACTACAACTCCCATCACTGATCAGGCTGGCTGGGAATGATAGGCATTGAAGTCTAACACATTTCAAAAGCACCAGGTTGGAGAAGACCAGGCTGTAGTGTTGGACTGAGAAACAGGAGTTCTAGGTCCAAAGTCTCATTCCGCTATGAATGCCACAAAGCAGCCATGAGGAACTGCAGCTGCTCAGCCAGACCTACTTCTCAGAGCTGCTGTAAGGATTAAAATGCTTGCCAAACAGAAGCTGGGATACGACCGTGATAAAAACAGACAAGTTGTACCTGGAATTGCTCTCCAACCATAGGACAGCCTTGGATGCTTGATAACATCTGCTTTGTACCTGCAAGGGCAGCAACAATGAGGGGAGCCCCTCAACAAAAGATGGGGGAAAAGAAGACTGAGCTGAACACTTTGTATTGATGATCTTATTCCAGCTGCCTCACCCCACCCCACCCCACCCCCACAAGACGTAACAGGGTCCTAGATCCAGAAAGGACCCTGAAGGACACTGCAGTCCAAGCCGCTGCTCCCTCAGGATCTGGATCTGCAGCATTCCTGGCCGATGGCCGCCCAGCGTCTCTAGTGAAGGAGGCCGCATCACCGCCCAACAGTTTTTCCCACTGTTGAACAGCTCCTCCTGATGGGAAGGTTCCAGACTGCAGTGCTGGTGTGGGGAAGTGGTCAAAGTGCTGGACTGGGGAACAGAGACAGGGTGACTTGGGGCTCGCAAAACACTTCTTAGTCTATCTTATCTCACAGGTTTGCTGCTGAGAATTAAATGGAGTGCAGAAGGAGAGGCCAGATATGCATGTAGTAAAGTCAACAATAACAGCATTTCGAGAGAGCTCCTTTTCTGCAATTTTCACTCACTGGTTCCTGCTCTGCCCTCTTGGAGGCTGGATGGAGGCCCAAAGGGCTTCTCTTACCTTTTGCACAAGTGCGATACTTGTTGCAGACGGCAGCACTGCAATAGCTGTCAAGCAGTCTGTTACTAGACATCTTTCCGCTGCTGTCTTTACCGAAGGCCAGCAACTACTTTGCCCGTCTAGGAAACAGGGCAGCTTTAGGAAGTTGTACTTTCAAGCTACTTCTGAAAGGCAGCACTAAGCTGGGCGGGAACACAGTATACTGAGCACCCACACGAGGATGGGCCGCATCGATTGCTGCTGCAGTCTGCCGAAGGAAGGCTTTACTGATCGTGGCTTGAATACCCTGGCATCCTTTCCAGAGCAATTCCCTTTTCTGGTTCATGAAAATTAGAAGGGAAGAACAAGGGCACCTCCCAGGCACAGTACACACCTCTCTTTTCTCTCCATGACCACACAGGGATTTGTCAGCTCCTCAGACCAGGGAAGGAAGCCGCACAGCCACTTCACTAGACAGTAACCCAAGGACTCGAGGTCACTCCGACGGGATGGTGCTGATGGTGCAGGAAAAGAACACCCACCCACATATGAAACAAGAGCAGACATCCAGATCTACATCCACAGGGGACAAGGAGAGAGGATGCAGCCCTATGGGTCAGGGTGACTCATTTCCATCATAGTCACTTGCTGGGTAAGTTTTGGGTTTAAGGTGTGCCTCAATTTCCCACTAGTTCATGTTTTTACCTGCTCAGGCAATCTAGGCAGTTCCAAAAGATCATCAGCCTCACTGTCCCACAAGCATTAAGCCGCCAAAAACAACTTGTTATCTAACTTTCACCACGTGTGAAAAATACACGTCAAAAGCACAGGACTGTGAGTCAGGAATCTGGATTCTAGTTCCTGCTCAACCATGGAGCCAAGTAAGTGACTTTGGGCAAGACACAAACCTCAGCCCAATCTATCTCACAGGGTTGTTGTTGTTGTGGGGATAAGATTGAGGATAATGGTGTAAGCCACTTTGAGTTCATTGCATGAAAAAGGTGGGATATAAAACTAATAAATAAATAATCTGCATATGATCAAAATCTCAATTTAGATTCCTTTCTGTGACACTGTGTAAGACAAGTCACAGTTTAACAAAACTTGCTGTTACTAAACTAAAATAGTCCAGAAAGAATTAATGTGCCACTTACTTGCAGTTCTTTCAACTAAAATGGGTCTTTAGTGATTAATCAGTGAAATTTCTAATTGATTACTCTACAAATTAGAGGATGCAGCCCTGCTCAGCTTTGGCTGCCTAAAGGAAGCACAAAAATGCACAGTTTAAGACTTGAACTGCATGGCCCACATTTCCAGATGAGGATTCTATGGCCCTGGGTCATTTGTGCAGGTTTACAGGGGATCCAGATGCTGTAATTGCCTTCTACTTACTACCCTTCCACGTTTTACTTTTGTTTCTTCCATGTTTTTCTTAGTGCAGAAAATCCATTGAGGAGGAAAAGATAGAACAGCTATAGAACACCTTCTGGTTGCTAGTGATAGAACCCCACATCTGGAAACACCCTAAACAGTACTGCATGCAAGGCCAACGGGAGAGTCAAAAATTAGCCCAGTTTCTGTGCACATCAGATGGTGGCAAGCCCATAGGATATTTCATGGCCTCAGGGATCAGCAGGTAGGCCAGGCTGGAGTCAGCTCATGGCCAGAGAGCATCCTCTAAGGCACAGGAAGGAGAACAGACACAGGCAGGGGGCAAAATGACGTCACGCACCACAGACGCAACCTATGCCCAGTAAGTGGGATCTCACCAGCTCCTTTATGGCTGTCCAGGCTGATGAACTCCAAGGTACCCTCATGAGGAGTCCTGCTGCCCTCACGGTGAGACACGTGCTTTCCCCCAGGGCTGTACCGGAAGGCAAAGCAGTAATCTGCAAGGGTGACCTGGGGCACAGAGGAGGACGATGTTACAATGGCCCAACAAGAAAACAAGTAGGCCTGCTCCACCCAGACACCTTTTAGTTCAGTTATTTAATATCCTTAATAACTCCCCTGTCCCTGAAGCCTTAATCCACCTCTGTAACAGCCCAGAAGCACCAAAGTCAGGACAGGTGGAGCCAACAGGAGCAGTCACAGCAGCCGGGGGTTCTTTCCTGTCACCCAGTACGAGTGAGAAGATGGTTTTCCCCATCTTCATATGAAAAGGAGAAATTACATCCTTCTCTCTTGGTTATCCTTGATGGACCTAGTGACCTGGTTTATACAATATGACAACACGCAATGGGTGATCAGCGAGGGTGGGCTGTAGCTTCAAGAGAATCCAGCAGAGTCTCTGCAGGTTGGCTTATTTTTCCACAAACAAGCCATCCTCAGAACGCATAGCTTGTTCATCCCCATGATGACTTACGCTGCCCAACCCCAGCAGGGCAACTTTATCACGGGCTGATAGGAAAGGCTAGAGAACTGCCCAGCTGGAGCAGCAAAACCCCTTCTGCTCCTCATGATCTCACTTGTGCCACCACCATCCTCCCTGGCCCCTCTCAGCATCATGCACCCCATGCCTCAGAGAGCTGGTCTTGTGCTGCTGCACCGTAATGAAATTCCCCTCCCCACCCACAAAAGCTGGACAACATGTTCCTGCATGATAAGGGCTCCGGAAAGTAATCGTATCTGCCGGCCTGATACTGGGGAGAGAGCTTTCCTCAGCAGCAGGCAAGCTCAGGGGACTAATGCCAGAAGGGCTCTGCTGCAGGGGCTGCGGCAGCGAACAGTTCCACTCCGAGACACCTGGGATGTGTGCCAGGGCCAGTGGGAGGAATGGGGGGGGGGGGGGAGAGAAGCCACAGTGAACACCATGAACCGTTGGGAGGACCGTGGGTTGTTCAGTGAACAACCAACCCATGATGCCTTCTTAGCAGGGCATCTTAGCATGACAGGCAAGCCCACCCTCGGTATAGCCACACCTGGGAAACTTGCCAGAACAAATATTAGGCTCTCCTGCTCTACAGGAACTGTCTACAGCAAGAGCGCATTTCTCCTCTGTCCCTACCCATTCCTTACCACAGCAAGATCAGTCGGTTTCACATATATGTTTTCGGCAGTGATATCCCCATGTGTGTATTCATTCTCATGGAGGTACTCCAGCACATCCAGCTAAAGGCAAAGATTGAGGCAGAGGAAAAACATCACAGCGGAATGCCTCCATGGCCCCTTGCCTAGGCGTGATCTCAGCAGGTTGGAGAGGAGTTCACCATGCAGCCTCTACAATCCCAGATATGTCTCTGAAACATTCACTCGTTAAACCAATCTTTTCAATCGCTCTTTGCCTAGGTAAGACTTACGCTTCAAGTCCACCCACGCTGCGCTAATTACAAGCACCTGGGGCAAGGTGTAGCTCTGCCAGGATCAGAGGCAGCCACCCAAAGGACGTGAGGCACCGCACAGCACTCCTGGAAGACGTTTGGCCTGAGGACAACCAAGCGCAATGTTCCCATGGCCACTGCTTCACCCTGCAAGCTGTCCTGGCAAGCACAGCTCTTTACTGAGCACAGAAGGGATGAACTAGTCTCTAAGTCAGCCATGCTGCAGTTAAAGAGCAACCTCTGGTAATCCCGAGGCCAGCAGCAAGAGCCTCCATTTCACAGGTGGCCAGAAGTCAGCGACAGACCTTTCAGAGAGGCTCTCTTCTTTCACTCCCCTTCATTTTTGTTATCCCGTACCAGTCTGACCGCAAGCTGCAAGGCAGCTTTCTCCGTCATCTTGTTTGCACAGTCATCCAGGACGGACTGAAGGGAGCGACCCACAGCAGGGAAGACCAGGAACCTGCCAGTCAAAGGATAAGGCTGCACGTGAATCGTGCCTTGTGTTGGGGGGTCACACCCACTTCCACACGAACCTTAGCCCCCAGCCGTCCATCAGCTAATTCTGTTTTAGCCCCAGACAGCTGGCAGAACGAACTATCAGTAATTAGGTTATGAAGTCCCATTTATTTAACAGCCTTCAATGCAGCATTATGGTCATATCCTTCTACAGCTAGATGACCTTTCTTTCCAAGTTAAAGTGCACAAAATTAATTATTGCCCGAAGGCTAGAAAAGGAAAATGTACAGTAAGAAAGAAAGTACAGAAAGAGTTTCAGGAGACGGCCTGTATCCATCCAAATTAATAGGTATTTTCTCCTTCTGGAAACAAAATAGCTGGCTGAAGAAAAAAATTACAGAATAGAATATATGGAATATCAGAGCACAGTAAGGGAAGGTTGAAACTCTGGCCATATAGAGAGATAGCAGGTTAGGGTAGGAGAAGAAATGGTAAGAACAAACAGATTCATGAACAGTTCAGAAAGAACCAAAAGGACAAATGTGTAAGTTCAGGATTGGTGCTGAGGGATGATGGCACTGGAAAAACGAAGGATGTGAGGGAACTTCCTAGTTAAAGCGGTCTCACCTGTAAATACCTTCATGGAGGCCAAAGCCAATGCAATCAGGGATTCCAAGCAATGGCAGTGAATGCTCTTTTTTCCATTTCTCAACTGCAAGGAAGAGACAAAATGTTGAAAGTGGAAATTGCCCAGAGTTTGGGAAAACAGAATAATTGCCATACAGTTTCAATCTGAAGCCCCTTTTCTCACCATATCAACAACTTTCTATGCAGTTATGAAAACCAAGTCATGTATGTTTTTTCTTTACAGTTGCCTTGGCTTTTACTGTCATAAATGCACAGATGTTCAAACAAATTAAAACAGATCACAATAATTTGCCACAACTAAAAATGGACATATCGTATTTTCTGTTTGCCCTCTTGTTATTTGGTGGTGCCTCCATTTCCCTTAAAAATGGAAATGAAAAGAGTAATATTTTCACAACAGTGTTTAAGCAAAGATAAATGCAGAAGATTCAAATCCACAGGTTATTTGGACTAGTCAGCCAAAGGAAACAATTGATGCTCAGCCCCCTTAACACAGAAAGATTGTCAAGATGGGGCAGAGGCAGCTGGCATTTTTTTCCATAAATTTTGGATGAGAATGGGGAAGCTCAAAGATTTAATTTGGTTCACATGTAAAAAAGCCTATTTTTGGAGGAAATATATTTAGAAATGCATATTCCTGTGAGGAAAGTATGTTAAACATCCATTTAAGTACTCATTTGTGCAGATTAAAAACAAAAACACAAATTAATGTAGAAATGAGGAACAGAATTACACATGAATACATGCAAAACTGGCATGAACCAGAAAGAGACTGATCTGTCAATCTTTACATGGGAAACCATCCTTACTAGTACTAGTTCCACCCAAGAATGCAAGGCAAGATCTCATGAAAGCACATGAGCTGTAAATGCAACAGAATATCACTTGAGAAGGCTCAGATATCCTACTCTCCACATTTAGTAGCATAGTACAAGTGATCACTGGCTAAAAATTCCACTGGGCCAAAGGCAAAGAAATAAATCTGTCACCCTATTTATTTATTTAGGGATATTTCTAACATATCCAATCACTATGCATCTCTGAATGACTTACAAAACAGGTTCAATAAATACAACAATATAAAAGATATAAAAGTACCCCAACAAAGATAAAACTAATAACCCATGCCTGAAAATAAAAAATAATTAAAATCTTTTATACATTAAAATATTGGGTGAATAAAAAGGTCTTGACCTGACCCCGAAAAGCATATGATGACAGCGCCAGGTGGACCTCTCTAGGGAGCACATTCCATAAGTGGGGCGCCACTGCAGAGAAGGCCCTGTTCTGGGTATTCTGTCTCCTAACCTCCTTCAGGGAGGGCTCCTGGAGTAGGGCCTCTGTTGTAGATCTTAAGGGGCAGGAGGGCATATAGGGAAGAAGACATTCTTTCAGGTATCCTGGTTCCAAGTCATTTAGGGCTTTATAGCTCATAACCAGCACCTTAAATTGGGCCCAGACTTCAATGGGAAGCCAGTGAAGCTGATGGAGGACCGGAATTAAATGAGAATAACGACCGGTCCCCAACAGCAACCTGGCAGCTCTATTTTGTACCATTTGAAGTATCCAGACCATTTTCAAGGGCAGCCCCATGTAGAGCGCATTACAATAGTCCAACCAGGAGGTTACCACAATGTGTCACCATTGCTAGGCAGTTCTCGTCCAGGTAAGGACAGCAGATGGATCAGCCGGAGCTGAAGGAATCGCTCCTCACCACTGCCATCACCTGGGCTTCCAGGGACAGTTCCTGGTCGAGGAGCACTCCTAAGCTGCAGGCGCTGTACTTTAGAGGGAGTGCAACCCCGTCCAGGACAGGGCCAAAGTCACTCACCTGGAAACCTGAGACACCTACCAAAAGGACTTCCGTTTTATCTGGATTGAGCTTCAAATTAACTACTTCAGTTTAATTACTCCTGGGAAGTCTTACCCGTGGCTTTCTTTGCAGCACGCTGAAAGAAGTTCTGTTCATTGAAGAGCCTCCCATCCTTGACATCCTGAGAAAAAGGCAGGCAGAACTTGGCACTCATATGCCTTTCAGTGTCTCATCACCACTGCTGCTTTGGTTACCCCGAGAAAAAAACCAACTCCATATATAACTTTGCTTGCCTCTGAGAAATGCATTGAGCATTAGAGAAGATGTCCCTCTCTGTTTTACCGGTAACCTCTCCCCGACAAGACAAAGGAGAAGTTTCCTCAGAACACAAGGCATACACAGGATACAAGGCTAGAATGACACTAGAGAAGCTTTCCCAACAATCCATAAACAGCTGGTGCAGTTAATAACCTACAAACACACATAATGTACAGTTCAACTCTCTTCTCATTCCTGTTCCTCAATAAAGAAAGTTTACCCTCCACACCATAGTTAGCAACAAAACAATAACCTGCGCAGATTAATCAGAAAAGTGGAATTACAGAGGACTTTTGGGAGGCTCGGCAATTTTCAAACAGTGGGCCTTGCACCAGGGGTGGGCAGCAAGTAGAGCTCCAGATTTGTTGAACTTTCACTCCCAGCTTTCCATTGACCATGGTGGCAGTAGAAGTTGAAGTTTGCTGCTTCTGGAAGTTGAAGTCTAAAACATCTATAAATCTTTCTTCTGTTTGGCCCTACCTTACACAGCTCCCATTTCCATGGCAACTACATCCTGCACCCACCATATTCCATCACACTGCCTAGGTCATGCCTTGCCCTTTACTAATCCTATCCTTGAGAAGGTATTATGGATTTGTATAAAACATAAGAGACTGGTGGACTACACAGTAGAACGTAACTGGGCAGGTTGTCTGCACGTTTAATTAGATGAGTGTTACTACTTGGGTCCCAAAGATGAACAAAATAGAAAAAGGAAGCATCAATTAAAAGATCAGCTTCTGTTGGTATAGATGTATGTGCAAGATTCTGAGTTATGAAGAACTCTCCCTAGGGGAAAATCTGGTGGCAACTAGATTTTTGTTAAGGAACTATGTTTCAAAAAAGGAACAGGTGGGTATGGTAGCCTGATGATAATCTCCATTTTTGTAAGATATTCCAAGAAACCTGCGGTGGCAGAGTGGAGTGCAGTGCCACCTGTTATCTGTTTTATTTGTTTCAAAGAAGAGAAAAGAGCACAGTCATCAACAGCCCATCCGACTCTTTCCAACAGAAAAGATGTCAGTTAGGCTGCAGCCAAGCCCTTTTACTGAGAAAGTTCCTACCTTAGTCGTGAAGGCTCTGTTCTCACATGACAACAACATGCATCCCAGTCATGACCTCATTAAGTACCAGGAGGGCCAAACGCCTTTCTAGTACCCATGAAACAGGCTGCTGGTGACTTGTACCACCTCTTGGAGAATGCAGGACTTGCCTCTGCCGCGCCATGGTTTGTTTGCCCTGCTTCCTCTTACCACTAGGGTGCTCCCACCCATTTGGAAAGGTCAGCTCTAAGTCCTTCTGATGTTTGCCTTCTTGTATTTGGACCTCTGTCTTGCCAAGCCTTAATTTCAGTTTCAGTACATGGGATGTTCTACCAAAAGAGCTGAACTCACAAGTTTAAGGCAACATCTCTGCTTTGGAGGGTAGGCTCCACATGCTGAATTTGCTGTGAGAGAATGAAATAAATGAAGGTTATATTAAGCTCGAGAGGTAAAAACCTAACAAAACTCAAATCTAGTAATCCTTGTCTTCCATGTTGACATACTGGAAGTATGGTCCCTGAAGCTGTCTGCATGTCCTCTCCCACTCTATTTTAGAGCTGTAAGACTTCTGTCTGTTAACTAATAGACTCCATCTCCAGCGCACAGAAGCACTGTGGTTCACTGTGGTATCACAATGTGCTCCAAATACCATGGTCCAGGTCTGATGGACATTCAGGGCTTCATATATAAAGGTTCATGAAGTCAGGAGGACTTTACCACCCCTTCCCCATTCTGTGGTGCATGAACTTTGGTATAAAAGTCCAAAGACTGGTTAACAACTCAAGAAAATAAGCCAGGAACACATTCCTAATTGTCAAGGTCTAGGGCCAGAACATGGGCAGCCAGAGACAAGACGGAGGCACCAGCACTAGGGCAATAGAACATGACCCAAGACAGTGTCCAAGTCCAAAATCAAGGTTCAATAGCAGCTCCAAGTCATAGTCACAGAACAAACTAAGGTCAAGAACCAGCAGTACATATGAGGGCAGGACAAGGATGTCATTATGAACAAACTGAGCATCAGGAACCAGGAAGACAAACAGAGGCGCAGGTACACAGTAAGGCAGGACACATGGCAAAATACGACCGGAACCAAATGCAGCAAGGGTCCAGCGAGGCACAAGAGCCAGACCAAGCCACAGCCAGCAAGAATACCCATGTTGCTGAGGTAAGTCAGTAAGGCAAGGGGGAGACGCCACAGCAAACAGAGAGACTTGCATTGCTGAGGCCATTTCTGGAGGGCAGAGCTGGCTCTTCTCCCAGGACTCCCGCTGGCACTCATCAGAAGATGAGAGCTCCAGCAGAGACTGAGACTGATCCTGCAAATACCAAGGTGGGCTGCTGGTTTTGAGCGTCGGGTGAAGCCCCAGAGCAGCCCAGATCCTGACACTAATGAAATGCTGGGGAAATGGAAACATAGTGCCCCAGCCTGCTGCTTTACTTCAGTCACAGAAAGAGACACTAGGACACTAGGTGTAGACTAGGTGCACACAATGTCAGCAGCCCAGCTCACAGCATTTGAGGAAAAAGGACAACTTGGGCTAAAGCACAACACTAAGAAAAATCCAGTCTGATGATGAAATAAGGCTCCCTGCACATGCACAGGCATTAAGGTCCTCCTCCGAGCCTTTCTCCAGGTGTCTCTGCCATCAGTGCTTGGGAGGCTGGTGACAGGAGAGAGCCCTTCTCGTAGCGGTTCCTTGTTTATAGAATCTAGTTCATAAAAACATCTTCCCTACAGGTGTTCACCTGGCTTTTCTGTTAATAAGACTAAGTGTTTTATCTGGCATTTTTGCTGTGTCTGCACATCATGGAAAGCCAAAATCTTTGTTTTAAAGCATTATTTGAAGTTGGTGTAGAAATTCTGGGTTGTTTGGGGAATAAATTAACCACAGTTCTCGGTTTACTCGAACAAGAAGTCTACCTCCTTAGCTTGCTTTCTTGCTCATGAACAAGCTGGCTTATTAAGTCAGAATTTTTGGTGTACAAGTGTGGCCAGTGTCAGCTGCAACTCCTATTTTTCTGCACCTGCTTTTATTTTATATTCAAGTGTGTACTGTACATTAATTATTGCTTCAGTAATATTTTACTGAAAAAATCTTTCAGTAAAAGATTTGAAAACAAGCACGATGCAGATGCTGAAAAATAAGGGTAAAAAAAAATTGCTTGAAATAATAAGCCCACAGAACTTGTATGAGTCATAGATATTGTATGAGTCAGCTTAAGGACAGATTCTCCTCCAGAAAGCGGGGTATAGAACAGGAGGCTATCTTCTCTCTCCAACATGTTACTTTGTGAGTACAACATATACCTTCATATATCAGCCCACAGTCACTCTGGCGCAGAAGTTTTTTAAGTATCCATTGCTTCCTGTTCAGATCTGTCAGGATTTGACCTTCTGGGAGAGGTTTCACAGAGGCAAGCTTGTTTTTCTTGGGAGGTCGGGGAAGAGGCTTTGCTTTACAAGAAAGAGACAAATATGTTTATTTAGACTGGTAGCCCTCTTTGTTATGAGATTCAAATAGGCTTCTCTCCTCCTGCCCCTAATCAGATACTAAAATGAAATTTCTTCTAACATTCCAGCTCCACTCAAAAATAGCAACCAGCCCACATTAAGTCTTAAGGCTCTGCTGATACCAAGTCTCCTCTTCTCATTATCCAAACAGCAACTACAGTATCATTATGCTTTCGCTGCTACCAGTGCACTCTGAAGTCTGTTCCACCTGTTCTTGGGTTTCTCCAAGCAAGAAATAGAAACCATTGAAATAGAACATTCTGCATTAAAAAGATAACTCCTGTCACAGAAAAGTTCAACTACTGCTGCTGTTTAGATACAACAATAGCCTTTTCTTCATGTTCAGTCCATTAGTCCTCATGAGAAAAGCTGGGGAAAAGCAGGTTGCTTACCTGCAACTGATGTTCTTCGAGTGGCCATCTGTGCATTCACACATATGGGTGCTGTGCCTGCGCAGTGCCTAAGGCCGGAAGATTAAAAGCTAACGGTTTTTGGCGGGAAACTCCGCTCCTCTCCCTCCTCAATAGTATATATAGAGCGGAGTGTCCCCCATTTTCCTCAGTCTTTGAAGACCGATCATTTGCCCCCTTGTGGGAGAGAAATATATCACAGCAAATGTCATAGGTACCATGAATATTAAGGTATGGTACCGATGAAGAAATCCACTCACCGACACCGAGCGGGGCCAGCGGGTGGGTTGTGTGAATGCACAGATGGCCACTCGAAGAACATCAGCTACAGGTAAGCAACCTGCTTTTCTTCGTCGTGGCCTCTGTGCATCACACATATGGGTGACTAGCAAGCTTACCAGACTTGGAGGAGGGAGGTATCGTCACTGAAGGACAGCAGAGAGAACTGCCCTACCAAAAGAGCAATCTTGTCTGGCACACACATCCAGTCGGTAATGCCTGGAGAAAGTTCATGGAGCAGCCCAGGTTGCAGCCTTGCAGACATCTTGAATCAGGATTCCCGCAGCAAAAGCAGAAGAAGTTGCTACCTCTCAGGATGACAGGTAAGTCTATTTTGGCAAGCTGATATGTCAATACAATAGTTTGAACTATCCAATTAGAAAGACTTTGAGATGTAACAGGAGAGCCCATATCCTGTTCAGAATATTTAACAAAGAGTCGATTCAAATGGCGAATGGATTCAGTACGCGATCTGTAGAAGGCTAGACAGCGTCGCACATCAAGGGTATGTCGAGACCTCTCGATCGGGTTCGATGGTGATGGGAAGAAAGCAGGTAAGAAGATCTCCTGATTAATGTGGAATGAAGTGGCTACTTTAGGCAGAAATGTCGGATCCATACGAAGAACAACCTTCTCTTTATGAAAGTTCAAATAAGGAGGATCCACTCTGAGAGAGCACACAATTCACAAGCTCTTCGAGCTGATGTGACAGCTACGAGAAAGGCTGTCTTCCATGATACAAGGTGCAAGTCTATGGTTGCCAGAGGTTCGAATGGGGCTCTGGTAAGTACCTGAAGTACTACCGAGAGACTCCAAGTAGGCATAACCGGTCAGACCGACGGATGAAGATTTTGTAGTCCTTTAAGAAATCTCTTAATTAGTGGTTGTGAGAAAATTGACGATCCTCGTACCTCACCACAGTAATAAGAAATTGTAGCCACGTACACTTTTATAGATGATGGTTTAAGTCCCGAGTGATGAAGCTGCAGGAGAAACTGAAGAATATCCTCTATCGATGCTGAATCCGGAGCGAATGGTTGTGATTCTGCAAAGGACGAGAACCAGTGCCACTTTCTTGCATAAGATTTGTGCGTTGACGGTCGCAGAGCAGATTCGAGAATCCTCTGAATATCTGGATGGAGAACTATCACACCCGAGGCAAAGTCCATCAGCTCTGTGTTGGTCCTGTATGTATGATTTCCACGGAGTTGAGATGCTGTCAGTATTGAGCTGGTACCGATGTTTATCGGATTCGCCAGGCTGTGAGTTTCAACAAGGATAGCTCTGGATGGTGGATGGTCCCTTCTTGTTGAGTTATCAGATATGGGACGGATGGAAGACGAAGGAATGTATTGTGTGACATTCGGAGAAGAATGGCAAATCACAGTTGACGTGGCCACCATGGGGTTATTAATATTCCTGTGGCCTTGTCATGAGCAATCTTCGATACCACTTTCGTTAGGAGTGGGATCGGAGGGAAGGCGTAAATCTTGATATTGTTCCATGGGATCATAAAGGCATTCCCTAGTGATCCCGGTCCGATACCCACCCTGAAGCAAAACTTCTTGCATACCCTGTTTACATGGGTAGCAAACAAGTCCATGTCTGGATGTCCCCAAAGATGGAAGAGCTGGTTGCATACTTGTCAATCCAATTCCCATTCGTGGGTTGTCGACATTTGTCTGCTCAACAGGTCAGCTTTCTCGTTGTCTCTACTGGCTAGATGAACCTCCAGAAGAGTTATGTTCCTTGGGATACACCAGTCCCAGATCTGCATCGATAGCCGAACCAAGGATATTGACTTTGTTCCGCCCTGCTTGTTCACATAGAACACAGCGGCTATATTGTCAGATGCGATCTGAACTACTTGATGTTGAAGAACATTCTCGAAGGACCGGAGAACCTTGAAGATTGCTAGTAAATCGAGGAAGTTGATGCGTTTGCTTGATTCCCGTCAGTCCCAAGCACCTTGAATGCGAAGATCTGCACATACTGCTCCCCAGCTGATCAACGATGCATCGGTGCAAAGAGTCACAGTAGGTTGTGGAGGCCAGAATGGGACGCCCACAGTCAAATTGGCTGGAACTGTCCACCATATTAGGGAACAAAGAACAGAGGACGGTAGTCGAATTAGTTTGGTAGGTGGATCTCGCTGAGGATGAAATATCTTGTTGAAGTGTAGTTGAAGAGGTCGAAGTCAAAGCCTAGCGTGTGGAACGATGGCAACAGAAGCAGCCATATGTCCCAAGAGTCTCTGGATGGAGAGGGCAGGTACGGTTTCGTCTCGTCAGATCCGATAAATCCATGAGCAGAGGCTGTGTTGACGAACTGGAGGGAGAAATGCCTTCACTAGCGTAGAGTTGAGATGCGCTCCAATGAAGTCAATCATCTGTGCAGGAACAAGGGATGATTTCTTGTGATTAATGCATAGTCCAAGATCATCTAACAGAGTACAAGTTGTATGGATGGATGACATTAGACCTTCCCTGGTCTGGGAAACTATCAACCAATCATCCAGGTAAGGATATACCTGGACACCTCAGAGCCAAAGATGTGCGCAAACTGGTGCCATACATTTTGTAAAGACCCGTGGAGCGGTAGCTAGTCCGAATGGGAGAACGTTGAACTCAAATACATCTGGGCCAACAGTGAACAGAGAAGACGCCTATGACAAGGGTGAACTGAGATGTGGAAATAGGCATCTTTCAAATCCAGGGAGGCGAATCAATCCTCTCTCCTCAGCAGTGGAATGATATTTTGAAGGGTGGTCGTCCTAAATTTCTTAGGCTTAATAAACTTATTAATGCCTTGTAAGTCCAGGATTGGATGGAGACCATCGTCCTTTTTAGGGACCGTAAAATATCTTGAATAGAATCTGTGAAGTCCCTCAGAATGGGAGACTTGGTGAATCGCTCCTTTATGAAGCAGTTGGTGAACTTTGTCTTGTAACATGGGCGAGCACGGTGTAAATCGAATCGGGCTCGACGGATGAACAATGTCGAATTCTATTCTGTATCCGAGCTGAATGATGGATAAAACCCTCCAATCAGATGTGATGGACTCCCAAATGGGGAGTCGGCTTTGTAGCCGGTCCCCAAATGAGAGGGGGAAAGGTGGGAGGTGGAGAGAAGGAAAGGTTCGCCTGACCCGTCAGCATTGACGTTTGTCACCGTCAAAGCAACGATGGCCTTGCTGGAAGCGCTGCTGCGGTTGCTGTCTACATTGCTGCTGGTACTGTTGTCTAGTCTGGTACTGCTGGTGATAGGACGGTCTGGACCAGGACCACTTACGGCGCTGTTGAGGCTGCATCTCCATGCGGCAAGCCGTCATTCTTGATTCATGTATCGACTTCAGTTTGTGGTCCGTCCTGGAGTTGAAAAGTCCTGATCCGTCGAATGGCATCTCCTCTATATGTCTTTTCATCTCCTATGGAAAGTTGCAGTTTCTCAACCACGCATGCCTCCGGAGGGAGACGGCACCGACATGATGCCGTGCCATCGAAAGTTGCTGAATTGCCACCTGCATGGCCTCTTTGATAAAGACCTTGGCCAGGTCCCCTTGGTGGTCCAGCAGGGAGGAGACGATGTTATCAAGCCGTTGCATGATAAAATACTGGTATCTCGCAAGGGTCACCTCATAATTCGAGATGTGCAAACCAAGTCCAACAGCCGTATAGACGACGCGTGCAAGCAAGTCGATTTTCCTGCCCTCACATGGGGCTGTATGGCGTCTCGACTCCCTGCCCTGTGACGACTCCACCACGACCGAGTTCGGCTTCAGGTAGCGCAGGAAGAAGGGAATATCCTGCTCCTGAACTCGGTACATGGCTTCGTATCGTCTGGATGTTACCTGAAGGTGGGCCAGAAGGTCCCGTGGCTGAAGCATCACCTGGCATAGGGTCGTGATCAGTGGCAAAACGATGGCTGTTGACTGTTTGCCCCTGACTATGTCATAGAACCTCAGTGCTGGGATCAGGCTGGTGTTGTGCCTCGATCTCCAGTGACAGAACAAGCCTAGACATCAGTTCCGCGAATGACGTATGGGGCTCCTCCAGTGATCCCGGGCCTTGGGAGGTAATGGCCACATCTGCGAAGTGGAATCAGTCTCAGACTCGTCCGAGTCTACATCGTATCGTGCTTGAACACTCGGTGAGGATTTGTCCGACGATATAGGTCGCCTCTGTTCCCCCCGTCCCGATGCTGAAGGTGCATCCTTCGGAACCGACGGCGAGGGATGGTCCTGTGGAGCCGGATAATAACCGAACGAATGGTACTCGTTCCAACCCGAGTAGCTAGGATAATGGGGTTGGTCCCAATTGGCGGAGTGTCTCTCACCCGAATGATGTCGGTATGCAGGAGGAGACACAGCGGTCTCTGTGTCCAGCCTGGTTGGTGGCATTGGGGTGGGCTATCGGGCTCTTGGTGGGGAATCTCGTGTTTCCCCATCCAAGATCAAGTCGCGCATTGGAGCCTCGAGATGCTGAGGAGACTCCCTTTTGGCCCAAACGACCCTTCAAGGAGACCCCGGAGGGGTAACCTGCATAGCCACTTGTAATGTCGGACCCAATGGGGTCGGTACCACAGCAGCAGATGGGACTGAGGGCGCCGACGAACCCGAGTCACGGGACTTAGCGTGTTCGGGCTTTTTAGCCTTACGGGCTGGTTTATCCGCCCTGTCCTTTTTCGCCTTTTTATGGCTTGAGGACTTGTCCGAGCTGCTGTGCTTTCTCTTTTCCCTTTGTTTCTTCAGGGGAGAAGGAAGCTGTTGGGCCTCTCGCACAGAAGCACCTTCCTCTGAAGGGCGTGATGGAGGCGCGGCTGAAGCAGAAGCAGAGCACTGCAAGGGCGTGGCCGAGGCCAAGGCCGGGTGCTTAACAGAGCTGGCTAAGGCGGGCCCAGACTTCACACCCAGTTGATTTGTTTGCATAAGGGCCTGGTTGCACAATAACTTCCGCAGGCGATTTTCTCTGTTCTTCCTGGTCTGCTTCGTGAAGGCCAAACAGTGGCCACATTTATCCGTCCTGTGCCCCTCGCCAAGACACAGGAGGCACAGATTGTGTGGATCTGCGGGAGACATTTTGGAACCTCACTCCACACATTTGTGAAAGGCCGCTTGCTGCACCATCGCGAAAAGAGAAAATGGAGAAGATAGTGCAGGGGGAATAGATAATATTTTTGGTTTTTTGTAAGAATGAGAGAGAATATAGAATTGAACAGGAGAGAAATAGAATTGTAACAAGGGAAAAAACTTGGATTAGAACTATCAACAAGAAATTAGCTAGTAGAAGGATAGTCAATACGAGAGTGAGGAGGCATGAGGCACAGCGAACGGCGGTCGCAAAGACTGAGAAAAATGGCGGACACTCCGCTCTATATATACTATTGAGCGGGGAGGGGAGCGGAGTTTCCCACCAAAAACCATTAGCTTTCAATCTTCCGGCCTGAGGCACTGCACAGGCGCAGCACCCATATGTGTGATGCACAGAGGCCACGACGAAGAAGTATAGCAATAATGACCGAATACAGATCAGGAAGCACCTAGTTTGAATATGATTTCTTCTAGGAATGTAGCAGGTGACCTTAGGCAAACCCCTCTAAGCCTCCTATCTAAAATATGGAGGTAACAGCAGCCATTTATCCAATAGGGCGGTTGTTGTAATGATTATAAAAAAGCAATGAATAGGAAGTACTTTGAACACTAAAGAATGATGTTTCATGCATCGTTATCAGCATATACCTGCCCGAGCATAAATACCATAAATACGCTGCTAGCACAAAAGGCAAGGCTAATGTCTGTGCCTGAGGCATTCCTTTCCAAGACTAATCAGAGTCATTGTTGTAAGGGAGACAGTGCCAGGCTGGGACCATGAAGATCCAGTTCCAAATCCTTGCTCAGCTATGAAGATCAGTGCCCTTCAGCCAATCACAGTCTCAGTCTAATTCCCCTTGTGCACGGGTGTCGCGAGGCTACTGAGAGCTGCCCACACAATGCCTTGAGTTCTTTAGAGGATGGATAGGATAAAATACAGCAAGTTTTTAAAAGGCACTGTTAAGTACAGATTAGGAAAGCTAGATTATTGGGACAAATTTCACAAAAAACATTAGCATTAGTCTTTGGCTTTCAAACATGGAGTATGGAAAGAGAAGGAACATTTTAGGAGTCTGTTCAGGAATTCCCCACATGGTAAATCAGCCTCAAGAGGCAGGAGGTGCAGAGTGCAGTGCTAACCTAACCCACGAATTCTCACCTTTTGCCTTTGGGGATATGGTAGGTGCTGAAGCCTGTGCGAGGTCTTGCTTAACTGAAGCAGATGCTTGTTCTTTGCCTGGTGAAACTATCTCCACCTTTGTCTTTGCAGGAGATCTTTGCATCTGATCCTGGTTTAATGCTGCCAAGACAGAAACGAGACTGCCAGAATGATAAAGGGTTTTACAGATAGGCCTGGTGCTGGTGCGTATTGGGGCCCAGTGACCCCAGGAGAGCCCACCCCCATGGCTACCACTGTTACAGGCCAATCATCTGCCCACCTGCAGCAGCAGCCAGGCAGGACTAACCTGGTTAGTGAAGTTCCCTCTAGCAAGCTAGAATGTGTCAGCACCACCTTCTTTATTGTGCTGGTCCCACACCTGATATGCATATAGGGGCTAGAGCTGGCAAAAGGAAGGTAGTGGGAATGGTGAGTTCAGGTGTACAGACTGGAGTTCTACTCAGTGCTGGTGCTGAGCCACAACTGCCATCAGAGTGTGTGTGTGTGTGTGTGTGTGTGTGTGCAGGGCAGCACCCTGCCTGCTTGCAATGCAGACTGGGTGGCAGCAATCAGGTAGCAGTGCCGAGTAAGCCCTGGGTAGATCATCAAAACTTGACGGCACTTAACAATAAGCAAAGCACCCCACTGAGTATAAACTGGGGGTGCAGCCAGCAAAATTAAGAGAGTGGTGCCAGCGTATTGGGGTATGAAGCACGGAGTTCTGCTCCGTACAACCACCTCGGGACTGCAAACTAGGAAGGTGAGGTAGCCTACATATGGCTGGAACCAAGTCTTGCTTGCAGGACTCAAATTCTCACGCAACATCCACCAATGGTTCTGCCTCTGAGGCCATGTTTACTCTCTGAGGCTGCAATCCTGAGCAGACTTATGCAAAATTAAATCCTACAGAACTCAGTGAGTAAACATACTGAGGTTTCTGCTCATATCAGTTACTGAATTCTGAAAAAGAAAAGCAATTATAAGAGGCAGCACTGTCAACCAGGACACACTAGTGCACAAGAATAACAAGAGTGCAAGTGATGGTGCATATGATTTTTACCTAGTCTGGGCTTAGAGTTTGGAAAATAATGCCTAAAGCAAAACTACATATCCTCACTGCTAAACTCCACTGTTCCTCTAGTGGAGGAACAATTCAAGGTGTTGGTGATGACCTATAAAGCCCTAAACGGCTTGGGTCCTGGTTACCTGAAGGAGCGCTTACATCCATATATGCCCAGCCGCCCCGAGATCGGCGGGAGAAGCTCTTCTCCGGGAACCCTCCGTGAAAGAAATTAGGAGGGTGGCTACTCGGAGGAGGGCTTTCTCAGCGGAGGCGCCTAGGTTATGGAATGCACTCCCCAGAGAGGTCTGCCTGGCGCCGTCGTTATTTGCTTTTCGGCGCCAGGCGAAGACCTTTTTATTTAAGTGGCATTTTAAATGTTAATATTATTGAATTTTATTTGGCCAGGGTGGCTTATTTTATATAGTATGGTTGTATTTTATTCTAATATTTACATTTTTAATTTATGATTATAATTATTTATTGTTGTAAGCCGCCCCGAGGCTTCGGCGAATGGGGCGGCATAAAAATGTTTTAATAAATAATAAAGCTTTCCTTCTGTCCTTTCCTCCCATTCTCACTCTGTTTGGCTTTCAGATAAGAGACTGTTTCTCAGTACTCAGAGATCCACATTTGACTGAATATCCATACCCTTCCAGGAAGAACTCGGAGTAATCTGCATAGGCTCCTCTTCTTGTGGAGGCAGCCTGCCTCCACAGGAGGGGCAAAAGTTGAATGCTGCCGCTACCTTCTGTCCACACTGTGGACAAAAACTGACCATTCTGAAAAAGTAATAAAGAGGGGGAAGGGAACACAGAGAGAAAGCTGTAAGTGCTGGAATAGGAAAAGAAATGTATTTGTAATGTGAATTTGGTAGCTGCATCAGCAGAAACACTGATATTTCATTCAACTAACATCAGAGCAAACCATTTGTTTTAATCATGTGGAAAAAAGAAAAGAAGCTATGACAAAACAGTAAAAAGGAAAGATATGCTTTAAGCTAAAATTTTAGCCCACCCCACCCATTGAATTTAAAAAAACAAAACAAAGCCTTTTACACATTTAAAATGACTACAAACAGTCTCTGCTAGGGACCAATTTTGACTAGTGCAACTAGTGCATGATGTTTAAGGGCATGAGCTATGGAGAAATATACTAGTGCTCAGGTACTCCCTAAAACAGGGGTGAGGTTTTTGTAGATTCTCTGTATTTTATCCTACAACTTCCATAAGCTCTAGCCAATGGTGAGGAATAATGAGAGTTATAGGCCAAAGATCTGGAGGGCCACAATTTGCCCACCCATGTCCTAAGATACGCTGGGCCTAGCCCAAACAGGGCTTCATAGGCACAATGCTATGAATAGTGGCTGGAAGCGAACAGGCCATCAGTGTAGCTGATATCAAACAAGCATATGTGCTCATACTATTCTTTTCCCATTAGGACAGCTGTGACTATGCTAGAGATTGCTTTTAAACACTTCAACAGTAGCCCTGGCCTCAGCAAACTACTAGTAATGTAGTAGTTTTAAAATTATGAACCAGAGTTCTCTCAACTATCTCTTTTCTACTGTAAATCAACTTCACTGGGAGTCTATGTGGTATAGTACTTAGAGCATTAGACTGAGACTTGGGAGAGCCTGGTTTTAGTACCCTCTCAGCCATAAGGCTGACTGGGTGACTTTGGGCCAGTCACTAATTCTCAGTCTAACCTACCTCACAGGGATGTTGTAAAAGTAAAATGGAGAAGATGGCAATTTTGTAAACCATGTTGGGTACCTTGCAGAAGTAAAATAGGTAGGATATAAATGTAATGAATAAATAAAGTGTAGCCTAGGGTAGGCTGTTCATACTCACTACACCACCCATAATATTATAAGCTTCTATATTCTCACAATTATTTGTCTTTTTTCTAAATTAAAACATTCTCCTTCTTTGAGAATTGCACTTTACATATAAGTGTCTGCAGAGGATATATAAATGGTTTCCAGAGTGAATGTGTCAAGTGTAGATGACTGGTACATATTCTTAAAATATTTGAACAAGTCAGGGAGCTGTGGACCAATCAGAGCTTCCAGATATACATTCTTCAATGATCAGTGTCTGAGGATACATATGCATAATTTGCTCAGAAATATTGCCTTTTCCAAATTCCAGAAAAGACCCTTTTCTGTAACACTTTTACAGATAGTTGTTGCATCTTCAGCTACAGGTTCAAATTAAGCCTCATATTTTCAGTTAAAATGTTTAAATCTACCTCAAAAGGGAGTCCTCAAGGCAGTAAAAAGATATTAAGAACAAATAATTGAAAATATAACATTAACAGCAACAGTAAGATTAAATAGCAGACGAGCAGGAAATGACAACAAGTAGTCACTGACTTGACTCACACATTACAAGAAGCTGCTGTGGGTGAATTTCCCTGCAGGGCTACTCATTTTGTGCTGGCTACCATTTTAAATATTTGGGGAAAATGGAGCAGGGCACATCTGCATATATGCAAACCTAGCAAGGGTGGGTTGTTGGGCTGGCTGACAAGCCATTCAAAACCCATGGGCTGTTTTGGGGTTGTGGATGGCTTGTCAGTACCAATGCTGGGTCCAAGCATAACAAGAAGCTTCAAGTGCACCCCTTCTATCTCCAAAATATTCAAAATAGGAGCTGCTGCCAGAAACAAAAGCCCAAAAGGGAAATTTACACACAGTGGCCTGTGATTACCTGTGAACCAGGATGTTCTCATCACTACCAGCAATTCTATACTTCGTATGTTTGTTGTTGCTAAGTTGCTAAGGGACTTTAAAAGAACAATTGTTAGCTAAATAAATATTATTGAAGGCATGTTTAAATAGAACTTTTTTACTCACTGATAGCTAACATGGTCAAGACAAGCCTTCTGGAGCCAAGAAATCCCACAGTCTGAGCTACCAGTAAGGCCCTGGCCTACATTCCAACCAACCTGGACTCCAATTAGCCCAAAATAAGCTTGCAACTTGTGACATGATGCAAAAGGGAACAAGGCTTCTGCACTTTTACTATCTTGACATCCTAGTTAGGGCCGCTGAAATTTCCTCTACTATATAACTATTAATAGAAGAAGAGCCTTGTACTCTTTCACATCTGGCCATCTTGGCCAGAATGTTTTGTGTTCACTTTGCTTGTTTGTTAAGCAAATGTAAATGTTTTGCAGACTGCATTATTTCATTACATGCAACACATACATGCAAGTCAGTGTGATTTAGAGGTTAAGAGTACTGGACTGGGATTCAGGAGATCCGAGTACTAGTCTCCACTTTACCATGGAGCTCACTGGGTGAGTCTGTTTCTGGGTCCAGGTCAAACTGCTGGTTTTAAATTTTAAAACCCTAAACAGCTTTAGGTCAGGCAAACTAAGGGGTTGTCCCCTCCTTGGCCCTTGAGGTCATTGCTGGGTGCTTCTCTGAGTGCTACTGCCAACTGAGTTCTGGTGGAGAGAGGGCCTTCTCTTCAGTTGTATTCCTACACAGGCATACCAAGCACCAATTGTTTATTTTCTTCAGTGTCAAAGACTCCTTATCCTCCCAGTCTTTTCAGGAGCTTTTAATGGATTTTGAGGTTTTGCCATATTCAAGTTTCACAAACACCTATTTGTGCTTAGTTTTATTACATTAGTTTAATTGAAATACAGTTTATATAGTAATGCTATCTTTATTGTTCAAATTGTGTTTTATGAAATGTGTTATTAGGAATGCAATTCTAAGTATACGCAGAAAGAAACAAGTCCTCATCTCCCAGCATTCTCCGGACAATATATTTATTTATTTATTTTATTTAGAAAATTTCTATGCCGCCCCATTCGCCAAAGCCTCGGGGCGGCTCACAAATATAACAAATATATATTATACAAATATATGGGGTTTAGGACTTTCTTCTGTCCAAATATGCATAGAATTGCAACTTAGAAACATGCATTAAAATGATAAGGCAAAGAGCCATACTTTAAAGGCCTGAAAAGGTGGGGCAGGACTACAAAACAGCAGGCAGCCCTTTAGTAATATATTAGATTTATATCCCACTTTTTACACGCAATGAACTCAAGGTGGCTTACATCATTCTTCTCCTCCTGTTTTCAATCTTATCCCCACAATACCAACCCTGTGAGGGCGGTTGGGCTGAGAGTCTGTGACTGGTCCAGAGTCACCAAGTTGGTTCCATGGCTGAGCACTCATCAAATGCAATCCTAACCCTAAGCCAGACTGCCTGAGATCAGACCCCTGCTCTTAACCACTATACCACACTGGCTCTGGTCAAATATCCTGTCCCAATTCATTTAACCTGGCAAAATTCAGACAGTCCTACTATTAATGGAGCAAAAGACATCCTACTTCAGGGGTCTTCTTACAACTGGTTCCATCATGACTATCTACAAACGTAGTTTTATTTAACACTGAAATACAGATATGGAAAACAGATCTATATGAAGATACTGATGGGGATGGCAAACAAATCATTTATCTGTGTTTATGTTTTTGAGATGATCTGATGCTGCTGTAAATTATTATTTTTATTGACATTTATATACCATCTTATATAAAAAGCCATCAAAGGGGCTGCAAAGCAATTTAAAACTGCAACTTCTCATGATTTGGAAGTAATACTTCTGTTAATGCATCCCAAAATAGCATTTGCCCTTTTGTGGCTGCATCGCATTGTTCGTTCATATGTAGCCTTTTGTCCACAATAACTCCAAGGTTATATAACTTCTTTCAATAACTTCTTTTTCAGGTTTTTTTTTAAAATCATGTATTCCCCATCTTGTACCAATGCATTCAGTTTCTTTTTCCTAGGTGAAGGACTTGGCACTTGTCTCTGCTGTGGTGGCTTGTGGTTTTAAATGTTATGTTTATTTATTATTATTATAATAATTATTATTATTATAACATTTCTATGCCGCCCCTTGCTGAGGCCTCGGGGCGGCTTACAACACAATAAAATACATTGAAATACAATTTAATTGATATATCCTGTCTTTTTCTTTTTTAAAGAACTCAGGGCAGCTTACATCATTCCCTTCCTCCTGCTCTCCGTCTTTATCTCTACAAAAACCATCCTGTGAAGAATGAAAACGGGAACTGGTCCAAAGTCACCCACTTGGCTCCATGGCTGAGTCCCACACCTACCTTAACCACTACACAACACGGTCTCTCATGTTGTAATAAGTAAAATGAGGCAGCTAACATTTAAAGCTCACTTTTCCTCCAAGCACAACAAGGTGAACACCCAATGCCCCCCAACCCCATCGGTCCCCCTACAAACAGCCCCGTGAAGTTAATCAGATTCAGCCAAGGCAGGACTGGCCCAAGTTAACCGAGTCAGGTTCGCGGCTGTGGTCTCCCCGCAGTCGCATTTATATCCGCTGCTTTTTTCGTACGAGGAACCCAAGGTGGCGCCCATGCTCCTCTCGTCTCCTCACAACAACCCCGTGGGGTTGCGGGTGCAAAGCAGCGACTGGCCCAAACCCCAGCGGCGACTAGTCCTTCGCCTCCTCCGTTCCCGCCCCACACGCTTCCCCAACGCGCCAAACCCCAACTCCTCCTCACTCTGAAGCATGAGGAGCCGCGACCCCCTTCTTGCGAGGGGGGCTGCCCCATAACTCCCGGCACTCCCCATCCGACGGATGGCGGTGCTGGGACGCGTAGGCCTTCCCCGCTCCGTCGAAGGAGTGCGCGCTAACGCGACTCTCCAGGGCCGGCCGCCCGCCCGCCGAGGCCGTCCCCGTGGCCACCCACCGAGCGCCGGGACTCGCCAGGCGGTGAGCGGCTGTGTCGCCTTCCTCGAGCGCCGGCCAGGGCCGCTTCCGCCTTTCGCCGATCCGCTTCATGCCGCCGCAGGTGCGCGGCGCCCGGCCGAGGCCTCCGCGCTCCTCACAGGCCGGCCGCGCCGCGCCGCGCCAGGAAGCGCTTCCTGCGCCCCCCGCCCTCGGCCAGGAGCCGGTCGCGGCGTCGGCGCCCCGGGCCCTCGCCGGCCGCTCTTCTGGGGGAAGCGCCGCGGGACGTCCGTGCAGTGTGGCCTCCAGGCGCGGCGCTGACGCCCTCGGCGAGGCTTGTTGACTCCGACGGCGGGCGCCCCGTGCAGTTTAACGGGGCTTGCGCGGGGAAACGCGGCTTGGATCGCGGGCCTCTCTTCGAAGCAAAGGGTGATTTGCTCGGACTCCTCGTGGTTCAACCGCAGCAACTTGCCACTTCCTGCTAAATTACGATCTATCACCTTAAAAGCCTTAAAGGCGATGCAAATGTAACCCCAAAATGAGCATTTAAGCCCCTAGAACAAAGCAGGGTTGGAGCTTTGTATCAAACAAAAACAGATCATTCAGTTCAAACGAGATGGACTGAGAATTCCTTAATTCCAAGTATGTGCTTTTTGCACTGTTGGTGGCCCTCAGGGTTATATCAGAGAACATCCTCCAGGACTTAAGCCTTCCCGTTTTACAAAGTGTCAGGGTTTCTTGCAATCTGCAGCCTTCCCCAGCACCCTCTTCTTCCAGAAGTAGCAGCATGGAGGTATGTCTCAGGTGAATGCAGGGCTTCCTTACAGCACTCTGAACAATACATTTATGTATTTTCCAGTTGTCAGGACAAAATAAAAGCTCTGCTGTAATATGGCTGCTTAAAGCCTGACACTGTAAGAATAGCATTACTTAAAATGGGATTCCTAATCAGATCAGGAATCTGTGTTGCAGGTCTTGCTCCCCAAAGTGTACGTACCTGAGAAATGCTACTGTGCCAGTCCTGGAAGGTCTTCCTTTGGGGGCACACCTTAGACTTACTGATTCTGTCAGCCCTGAAGTTTCTTCTTTTTGTGTTGTGTTGCCTTAATCTATTCAATTCTTGTTTTGCTCTGGTGCTTCCAGCAGCACCCCCACCTGATCCCGCACCCTCCCCCAAACTGTGTAAGGAAGTAGCTAAAAGCTTATGAAAACATCTTGGTAGTCCCTTGGGGGCCTGCTGGCATGCCACATGCATTTCCTGTATGTTGGAATCAACCATTAATGTTCTTTTGATTGTGCACCCCCAGTGTACTTGCTCTTTTTCTTTTCACAATCTATAGCTTAAAATTAATGAGTAACCAAGATCTTGTTGCATATAAAATCACAGTATATATGCATATAAAATCACAGTATATATGCCTCCCTCTGTTGCATATAAAATCACAGTATATATGCCTCCCTCTGTACACCTGAAATACCTGAAGGTCAATCTACACATGATATGGGTTACATATCTTCTGCCAGTGCCATAGCCCCAGTTTCAGTTCCAGGTCCTCTGCAGCTACTTTTGGGGAAGGAAGAGGTCCTGCATAGATAATTCTCTCCCCTAAAAATAACAGCAGCTTGTTAGAGTCTCAAATGTGTCTATTGACCCAAAAAGAGTGGAACCCTTGCACTAAGGGCTGCTGTGAAGATACTATTCCTTCTACTCAAGACCAAAATGGATATGATGCAGAAAATTGAATATCTGGTTTCTGTAGTCTATGAGCAGCTGCCCCTAAAATTTGCTGTTTTCTTGTTAATCTTCTCAGAATTTCTATATATATGTTAGAGTGCCAACAGAGATACCCATGGTGGACCATACTGGACACCCAAGTCTAGGGCTGTGTGGAAGATGCTTCTTTCCAACTTGTCCTTCTCTTGTCCTAGTTCAATAGCTAAGCTATCACCTCAACCTATAGCAATCCCTTCCCAAGTGTGTCTGTGGCAGATAACCAGTTGCCTACTAAGCAACTCACATGGCTGCCAAGATACAACCCCTCCCCCCGCCTCACAAGCACGCACCAAGACAACACCTCAAATACCCACAATCCAAGTCAGGAGACAGTTTATATACAAAAACGTGGTTTTAATATAAAAAAAATCAATCACTAGCCAGTATGAACTGTCATTAACATTACCTTTCTTGAAAAAGAAAGAGTTTAACCTGTCCAGTGTTTCTTCAGATTCATGTAGTTGTTAACACATATTTTGTACCTTGGCATACATTCTAAGGAATAATTCATATAAGGAACCAAATCTTATCCTAGGCCTCTGTAGAAAGAACAGAGGCCACAGCCTAGAATTCTTATTGCCTGTGCAACAGTCATAACTGCAGGCACCATTTCATCAAAATAGTTCTTGTACAGATGGAAAAAAGGTGGCTAACTTAATAGAAGAACTTCCAAGTCTGTATGTCCGGGAAGCCCTCCGAAATCTGGCAAACACTAGATTTGCTGGATAGTAATACCTATCATTCTTAGAATTCAACACATCTGGAATAATGGGAGTTGCAGTCCAACACATCTAAAGGGGCCCAGCCTGAGGAAAGTGATTCTAAGGTCCTTCACATTCCTAATGTAATCAGTGTTGCATTAAAAATTGCAATCCATTGCATTGTATAATTCTTTGAACAATGAGCTATACCGGACTATGGAACACCAGGAGGGGCAGCACCTTAAACAACTTATCTTTCACTTCTTTGGGACTTCTCAGCTCCCATAAAGCTCATAAATATCAGTCAAATTTATTTCCATCTTCAGACTTCTGCATAGTGAGAACATTCAGCAACATTCTGCCAGACATTCTGCAATTACAGCAGAAGTGAGCCTTTAAAACATTGAGTAATCAGACAATAAGGGCCTATATTTTTATGCATAAAGAAAGTAAAGCCAGAGAAATGAGCAAGGCAGGAAGAATATTTGAAGGGATTCAAAAAGGAAACAAAGAAATCAAGAGCATCATCCAACCAAATTACTGGCAGAGCACATTTCTCATGAATGGATATTTGCCACTCATTTATGAAGACCACTAGATGGCTTAAGACCAAGGCAAACATAGCACCTAGCCTTCATAACCCCCCCCCCCGCTCCACACACACACATATTGGTAAACAGAGACATTATGTTCTTTTGTAAATCACGATAGAAGATGCTGTTCAGGAGTGAGAAAAGCAATAAACAGCAGTGCAGATCTTAACTGGCATACCAAATAATATGTAACCAAAGCTTCTGGCAGGGGAACAAACTGGATCAACACTAATAAGGCAGTCTTGGTAGCCACCTCCTGGGACACTTAAGATCAAGGCCAGACTGAAATATTCAGCATAAGTTTTATTCACTTTTGGGGAAACACTCTACAAAGATGAGGAGTAAGCATGGGGAGGGCCACTTATGTTTGGAGAGGTGGCCAAGGATTTTTTTCCCTCCAGTTGGTCAGATTTTTGGTATGCCTTTTGTAGTGCCCAAACCCCACTGAAGTCCCTAATATTGACCCCACCTTCACAGGAGGCAACGTTTCGATAAAGCTGAGGTAAAGGAGATATTAGTTCTGTCCCTATCTAAGATGGCTATCAGATTCTGCCCAGGTGAAAGATACTAGGGCAAACCTAAACAAGAGGCCCTGGTGAAAATTGCTTGATTATATTGGCACAATGGACAAACATTTAACACAGAACAGGAGAGGGGCAGGGAAATGATTTTGCTCCCTGCCACTCACCCCAAACAACATGTTTACACAGCCATGTTCTGGAAGCCAGTTATGCTGGCTAGTGCCTTAAACTTCAATCTGACCACAAAGTCCACCACCACAAGATGAGACACAGGGAAGAAGACAGAAACTTTGGGGAAGCTCTTAAGTAAAAATTAGGGGAGACCAGAGCTGCACAAGTCACAATCCACCATGTGAAACATAGCCTGCAACCACATGCAGTGCCCCCACCAGAGGCTCAATAAACCTCCGCCAGTTTGTGCCTGCTTCACAGATACTTGGCATTAAAGTAAACAGCACTGGAGCATCACAGGCTTAAGAAGCCCAAGTTCATCCTCTCCTTTTCATTATATTCTGACACATTTTTCCGTTTCACTTGCCTTCTACCAGATCGAGTAGAAGCAGAGCGCAAACACAATTCTGAGTGAACAGGCTGCACATGGCCTTTGTTCTTGGCAGGGCCTGCAAGCTGGACTGAGGTAGCTTTGGGAGACGTGCCAAAGTTGCAGTTGATAGTGGAAGTAGGGCTAGCACTGTTGACAGAGGAATAGCCAGAGCTGGCATCAGTGGTAGATTCTTGCAGGGCGTGGGACACAAGCCACCTTTGCTCATCACTTTGCTGGTCGTAATTCCTTAATTTGTACTCAGACTCCTCTTTGGCAAGGCTCTCTTCATCGCTGGATTCTCCACAACAGCAGCTGCCATGCTCTTCAGGGTCCATACAAACCACAGTTACATCCAGAATTCCACTGGGGGTTGTGACTGCAAAGAAAAACCTTATGATTAGGTGGCTGAACAGTAGCCTACAGCAGTCAAGACTATTCTTTGTAGTACACTTTAAGTTGGGATGGGTGAAGATTTCATCTCAGTTTGGTTCTGATAAGAACTGAGTGTTGTTTTAAAAGAATGAATGTGGAAGAAATCATAACTGGCAGATCTGGCCATCTAGGTCTAGCAATTTAAGTATTCATCTTCCAAAGTATAGATTTAAATTCCTGAGTATATTCAGCCAACATGCTATCCTTCTCTTCAATGGCTATGACAGCTGGGCACAATATGATTGTCTATCTGCTTGGGAAAGATATATTAAATTTGGTGAAAGTTTTGTTTCAGTTTTGCAAATTTCATATGCAGGTTACCATGATGAGATTTTCAAAGTCTGTATGTAGGGCAAAGAGAAACTGACAGATTCATCAATCCCTGACTTTAAGCACCACAGCAGCTTATGCTCTAATTCTGGAAACTCCTATTCAGCACCATTAGCACATAGTATCAATGAAATACACTCAAAATTATGCCTTCTGTGGATCAGTTTATATAGCCTGTATTATCTTATTTACTGTATTTCTATACCACACAATGGTTCAAAAGATAAAAGTTAACATCAAAGAACAGTGTAAACTTTGAAATAAAATCAAGGTAAAAAGGAGGGAACAGCAAGCAATTCAAGGGTCTAAAGACATTTTTTAAACCAAAAGACCAAAAAGCTGAAGAGAGAATTTTAAAGTCTTCACATGGCCAAAAGGACACATTGTGCCAGCTGAACTTCTCTGAAGAAAACCTCAACTAGGGTGCCATCACTAGAAATATCTTTCTTAAAGCAGCCTTCCTTCCTGGAGGGTAAGCTACCAGAAGTACCTGGAGAAGAGTCCTGAAGAAAGAACTTTAGAATCCTAATAGGTATACGTCTGGGGTAGGCAACTTGCTGTTCTCCACATGTTGGATTTCAGTTCCCATCATCCCTCATCACTAGCTATGCTGATTAGGACTGATGGAAGTTGCAGTAAACTAATACCTAGAAGGGAAAAAATTACCCACCCTGACATGTACAATTAAGGGGAGGTGGTTGACCTAGGTAAGTGGTGGGCAACCTGCCACTCCCATCAATCCTAACCAACATAGTCAATGGTAAGGGATGATGGGAGTTACAATCCAACAAGAACTGAAGGACCACTTGTTCCTTATCCCTGCCCTAGGCTATGCCAATGTAAGCCACAGCGAAGGGCTATATGCCTGGATATTCATCCAGCCGAACTGCTTCACCCATCCTTGCAAACAGAAAACTAACAAGTTAGGAAGACGGCAAGGCTAAAGTCTTTTCACCTTCTGCCTTATACTAGGATTTGCTTTGTTTCTCAGGGGGAACACTAAACAAAGCCCAAGTAGTACAGCTTTGCCATTCGATTGTTGGCAACACTCAGTCTATAGACAGTGGCAATACCAGCAATAAAAAGGGGGTGGTGGATGGGAAAGCTTACCATCTCCTTCCTTCTCGCCTTCACTTTCTTGATCTCCTTCATATCCAGAGCAGGAATCCAAACTCCAGTCCAGGAAGTTATCCAAAAGACTCTCCTCCTGATTGGACAGTTCAGCTGTAGGTGTTGTGACAAAGCTACCCCTGTCTTCCTGGATACTGTCTTCTCTTCTCCTGTGGCCAAAATGCCACAATAAATAATAGAGTCTCAACAGAGTCAGGAGCAAGGGGTAGTGGGAGGATAATAAGTCAGATCACCCTTTCCTAAAAGCTTTTTGTCAGTCGACATAGTTGAAGTCTGGCTTAATTTGAGAAAAATGATCAATACAAAGAAAGGGTACCCCAAATCGCAAGAAGCCATATAGTCAATGGATTGCTTACTGAGAGAGGAATGTGTATAATTACTGTGAGAATATAACAGTGCTATATATTGTAATAATATATAAAACACATGCTGTAACCAAATCCCTTTTATAGAGAGTATTTATTCAGTGAATCCCAGTTATGGATGGGATCTCAGATGTCCACACTGCAGCCTGTTTCACTACTATAGTAGAAGTACCTGAGGAAATTATCTTATTGAAGATAACTCAAAACAACCCTCTGGCTGTTTGTATCTCTCTTCGAAAGACATCTCTGACTGAAATCATCCAGAATGTCTTAACAGGGAGAATTCCCCCAGGAGTGTTTATTTCTTCCTAAAAGTTTCACTGGAAAAGTCAATTCACAAAAATGTGGAAATCTCCCCAAAACAGAGTATGTAGGGATGCTGCTGCGGCTTTAAATTTGAAATGGTAGCAGGGATGCTATCCCTTCTCTACTTTGAAATGAAGCCATCTTCTTCCCACCCCTGCTTCCTCTACAAGTGCTGTCCCATATGCAGTTATGGAGGAGGCATGCCACAACGAACAGCCAACAAGTTATCTGCATCAGGGGCCTTTTCTGGGGAGACCAATCCATGCAGCTTTCCAACTGGGCTGCCCAGTACTGATGGGTGGCCACAGCATGTGGGCTACAGCTCAGTGGTTCAGCAGAAAGCAGTTGCCCAGTTCAACATTCAGATCTGAAAAACTCTCTGGCCTGAAATGCCAGAAAGCAGCTGCCAAGCAGAACAAACCAAGAGTGAGCAACTGATTGCCTTCTAGATGTTTTGCCTTGAACTCTGATCAGCTCTAGCCAATGCCATCAATGATGGGCTCCTGATATTGTGGCCTACAAGCCATTCCCCCCCCCCACCCCCGCCGCCAGTATGGAGAAGACTGAGCTAGATGGAATATGGCAGCTTTTGACAATGGTCTAAAAGTTGTCACTGTTTTCTTGGCCCCATGCAAAGGGCTTGGAGTAGCAAAGGAACATACCCCACTGGGCTTTGCTGCCTATACGCACCCAACCTGCCTTCAGACCACTGAGTCTAACCTTCCCTCTTCCCCAACCAGCCTTCGTCTTGCCTGGGTATCCAAAGCAATTCAACTCAGCTGGAGAAGTGCCCAACAATCAATCCCCAGCCTTTCTTCCCACTTTAGAGTTGAGAGGAAGGCTGGAGACTTGACCAGCAGATACTCATCATGGTGAGCAGGCTTCCTGAAACCTGCTAGAAGACACATCGAGTGCACAACAGCTTTTTGATCAAACTCAAATTAAAACAGAACTTGCCTTTTCGTCCTCTTTCCTGATGGAGATGTGAGGAAGGTCTCCACCGTGTTCAGATACAAGGAGTCCGGCTGTAGATCCTCCTGTTTCACTCCTAGCAGTGAGCAGAGCTGACTGTATCCCATCACCTAAGATGGACAGTCCAGTGAGACAGCATTGCGACAGCCGTTCATACATCCAGCACCACTCCCTGCTGTGTTCTCTGTTCCCCAACCCTGCTTCCACATCTTTGAGGCTCTTTTCTAAGATACTCGTACGGTGGTACCTTGGCTTACAAACATCTTGGTTCATGAACAAATCGGGTCACGAAGAAAAATTTCATTAAAATTTTGACGTGGGTCACAAACTCCGCATTGGGGAGATGGCCACGACTGCAGTTGCTTTCGTGCAGGAAAGGCGTGTGTGATCAGAGGCAGCCCGCACAATCTTGGCCATTCCATCCCCCCAACCAGCACAATCGCGGCCATCTTCCCCACCCCACCCGAGTGGGGAGATGGCCGAGATCGTGTGGGGCGGGGGGGAGATGGCTGAGATCATGCCCATCTCTCCCTCTCCCAGCATGCCGTTTGCACCCGTCTCCTCTTCCCCCAATGTGCCCGCGATCACGCCATCTCTCCCTCCAACTCCCCAGCACACCAGGATGATGGGCGCCTGCAGGGATGACAGGCACGATCTCAGTTGTGCTGGGGGGTGGGGGTAGCCATGCTTGTGCTCGGGGGCGGGGGGGAGAGATGGCCGTGATCTTTGTTGGTGTAACTTTGCTTCACATTTTTCTGATTTAAAAAATGATTACAAAACGGATTAACCTTATTTACATTGAACCTTACGGGGAAATTTAACTTGGCTCATGACCAATTTGGGTCACAACCAGAGTCCTGGAACAGATTAAGTTTGTGAGCCAAGGTACCACTGTAATTAGGAGATTCATGCAAGTTTTGCACAAGCCTCACAGAAAGTATTTTGATGACTTAATCTGCTGGTGTTATTTACTTCTTTTAGTCTATTTTGTTGTTTCTTGTAAGCCACTTTAGAAGGATTTGTATCCTCAAAGGTGGGATTGAAATAATAAATGTGTGTGCATATGACTGCGGCCTTAAAACAGATCAACTGAAGCTTTTGTTCAGGAAGCCCCAGATGGCTCCCCAGATGGTTTGGCCTACAACTCCTATCAGCTCCACAAACCTCGCCATTGGTGAGAGATGATGGGAGATGCAGACAAGAAGGGCAGGTCACCCTCCCTTTGCGTTAGTTGACTAAAATCAGTGTAGGATGATTCTAAACAGTAGGTTTAAGAAGTCTGAAATGACAGCAGGGATGCTCTTTGAATCCAAATCATCTCACTTGCTTTCATACCCCCTTCCCACTAGAAGTACTCTCCATTTGATTCTGGAATGGTTCTCTAAAACGGAAATATTAATGCCTTAGCTTCTATCAGTGATTTTAAAAAAAATTAACAGAAGTTCTCACATTTGCTTTAGTATCTGCTTACCACAAGTTCTAGAAACATGCACATCTATTCCACTGACCAAAGGGTAAATAATTGATTGACAGATTATCAGCCACCACTTAAAATAATGCCTAGTTGTCAGGAGTACCAATGTTACATATTTAGGTATGCTTTGCCTTACAGAAATTTAGGCTGCAATCCTATACACACTTATCTGGGATCAAGTGGGGCTTCCTTTTGAGTAGACCTGCATAGGATTGCCCTCTCAGAAATACTCTAACTCCATTTCTCATACCCCTCAAAGATAGCTTGACATACCTCTTCCTTGCTGATTTCTTCATAGCGCTCATCTTCAAATCGTTGTTTCACAGCTGTAAGGGACACCTGCCTATAATCTTTTGGGACATCCTCATGGAAACTGGGAGAAAGGAAGAGAAATGTAAAATAACCTCTTTAACCTTTCAGAGGTTATCTAGATAAGTTAACAGAACCACTGAGAAATATATCTCTGGAATGCACTCCCCAGAGAGGTCCGCCTGGTGCCATCATTATTTGTTTTTCAGTGCCAGGCTAAGACCTTTTTATTTAAAACTTATTTTAATTGCTAAATTATTGTATTTATTAGGATTTTAAATTAGCCAAGAATGCACGGGGGGTTTTAAATGTTTTTTTTTCTTTTAAATTGTTATATTGTTATTGTTTATGTATGTTTATGTATGTATGTTGTGAGCCGCCCCGAGGCTTTGTTGCGATGGGGGCGGCATAGAAATGTTTTAAATAAATAAATAAAAATAAAAGATAGCCCCAATGACTGTGAAGTTCCCAAACAGATTTTAATGCCAATACAACTATCAACAGACTCATTCTCATACCAATCATTAATATTTGATTTGGAGGCAAGCATGGAAGAGAAGAAAAATAAATCCATAGCTTGGCTATATTTCTATAACTTGGACACTTGATACAGCTGGATAACCTGTCTTAGTGTGACAGAGAGTCTCGGCAAATTCCTAAGATCACAGCTTCTGCTTTTAACACTTACACTGGTAGCAAAAAAATTACCAGAAGACCCTATGAGAATAACTAGAAGAGGCATTTGTGGTATTCCTTAGACAAGAAGCATCTGTAGCAGCCTGTTATCTTCTCCGCCTTATCAATATGCCCTGCCCTCATGTAGCAACAGCACAGACTCAGACAACTGGCTACTTCCCCTTTAGTGCAAGCCAGTTTGCTTTTACATCTGAACCACTGATCTGTGGCTCGTGTTTGCCCTTCACACCTGTACTGTCAGCCAACCAACCTGAAATAGCAGTTTGCAGGGCATGTGTGTACCACAGCTGGCTGATGCAGGTGCTAACAGCAACTATGGTTTGTGCTGAGGAGGAGGAATGAGAAGAGCAGAGACCTTGGCAGACTTCAGTCTGAGGCTCAGTCCAGCTGCTATTGTGACAAAGTCTCCGTACATCTGTGCATGTGCATGCAGGAGAGCGATCTGTACTATAAGCCTAACAGGCAGAACATAAAAAACTGGCTGGTATCTGGTTAGACTACTGGCAGCTGGGGAAGACGGACGCTGTAGTCCAGGCCATCTGGAGGGCCCAGTACTGTCTGCCTGATAATGAGTGCCACTCTCCAGGATTTCATTCTCTAATGGAAGATGGTGGGGACAGAACCTGGGGATCTGCAGCAGGTTCAGATGCATGGGCTCTGCCACGGGACTCCGGGCTTCCTCTCCCCCTTGCCTTGCAAGTGGAGGATGCAAGTGGGCACGGTTCACGTTGCTGAGGATCTGGGGTGGGAGGTGTCTGACTACATGCGAGTCTGTGAGGGAGAAAGTGGCTGGGAGGCCTAACAAGGGAAGCCAACAGGGCCCAGAACTACAGAAAGGGGAGCTGCTGTGCCAGCTGAGGCATCAGTTGCCCAAGCAGACTTCACACCTAAGCGGGAGCCAAGCAGAGAGCTGCCTCTTGTGGCAACAGTGGCCCAGATGGGTGGCCATCTAGCGCATGTGCTGGTCACTCCTAGACTCAATTTCTGCCATGCAACCTATATAGGGCTACCCTTGTGCCTACTCCAGAAACTGCAGCTAGTACAAAATATGGCAGCCAGGCCATCATGGGACATCAAGGAGAGACCACAGATTGCCTGCTTTGAAGTCTTTGCACCAGCAGCCAAATACAGTACAAGAAATACCTGGTAAATACCGTAAAGCCCTTGGCTTGGGTTCAAAATTCCTTCAGGAGCATCTTTGCCCATGCATTCTGCCTTGCCAGCTAAGGTCTGATGTCACTTCTGTGAGATTACTGTCAACTACCCAGAGGACTTTCTTAGTGGCTGCCCCCTAACTGTTTGCAACAGCTGAACAAACCAATGTATTACTACCGCTTACTGCTTGCTTACATCCCACCAAGTATCTTTACCATTTCTTATGGAGACTCAGCACACAGGGAGTCAGCTCTTCAAGGGAAAATCCTGTACTTTCAGATAATTGGCTAGTCCAAGGATGAGCTGGAGAAAAAGACAACAAAACAAATGGCCAATATTGCTCACTAGTTCCTGGGCAGCAGGGGTTAACCAAAGTCACCTGTCCTGGCTCTCTCCACCTTCTATTGACTAACTTCTTGTCTAGCTGAAATCCCACCTATTTCAATGGCTCCACTAGGACTAAGTATACTGATGACGCATTCTGTTCCTAAGAGCTTTGCGGCCACTGAGGCTGAGTGCACACTGGCTGAACACTGCTCTTCACAACTTCTCACTCCCAGCCAAAGTTCTTATTGTCTTCCTTGCACTCAGCTCACTTTGCATCTTGGATCAAACCTAAAACCAAAGACAGCAATCTAAAAAGAATGGAACCCAAATTATTAAACAGAAAAAACTACTCCTCACCTTGTTTGTACAATACTTTAGCTAGCAACAAGGCTGCAGCAGCCAGACGGGCTGGAGAGTATATGCACAGTCCTGTGTTTAAGAGGGAGAGTTCACAGATGAAGCTGTACAGGTATACTGTTCTTCTCTCCAATGGGATAATGTTAAGTAGTACTTCTTTATAGTCTATAATAGTTGGAATCTTGAAAAACAAGAGAATACCAAAGGTGTTATGTCAAACATGCTCATAACCTACTCAGATCTACGGTCTCTTTTTCCTAGACTCCCAAGGTCCATCAACCCCAGCCAGCTGCAAAAACACACAATTTTTATATTAGAAAACACAGTGCCTCTGAGCACATACTGAGCCTCAGAATTTGTTTTCAGAAGAAAAATGAAGCCCACAGTCCTCGCTAACTAAAGTCTACTCCTGTTTAGGCCAAACTTTCTTCGTTCCAGACCCTAATTTAAGTTGGATAAGTCATTTGTTGGTGCTGTTGTTAGCCCTCCTTGCAAACCACTGAGGAGAAACATTTTAGAGTGGGGGGAAATAACTGCACAAAATCCAGAAACCCAAGAAATAGAAAAGCCGCAGTTCAAAAAGCACAAATAGTCTAGATATTTGATTTTAACTTGGGCACAGTAGGTAAGGGGAAGAAAACAGCAAAACTGCCCTATTTCACAACAACTCCCTGCTCCACAAGGACAGCTCGCAGGGTGACAGGTTAATATACAAATTGCTTTGCTGGATCAGACCAAGAGCTGTTTAGCCAGTAACTTGATTCCAATAGCAGGAAATGGCTCTCAACATCTTTTCAAGCTTACCCTTATCTTCCCTTCAAGGGCAGAGATGATCTCCCCCATCATTCTGACAAGATCTTCATATTTGTACGTGTTGTCTGTTAACCAAACAGCTTCCCGTATTGTCAGAATCTCTTTGCTGATAAAGCTGTAACAAAAGATTTGATTAGCATCAAAGACAGAACAAGAACGGTAACTTTTGCTTGCTCAATTCACACAATAGGATGAAGTGCTTATCATCACTACTGCCACCAACAGAAAGATCAGCTAAATTTATAGGAGCATTGATCTGTCATTCTGATTTCTAAAGTCAGGGAATGTCACATCTAGAAAATGTAGCAGTTAAGCAAAAACCATCCGAGGAGAGGAAGCAGCAGCCTAGCAGCCTCCATTGTGCCTCAGGACACTTCCAGTTGAGACCCCCTTCATCTAAATAATTTTGTTACATTTATACCATCTTCCCTCCAAGGGACCCAAGGCAGTTTGCAAGATCCTCCTCTTCTCATGTTATTCTCTCAGGTATGTCTGGCTGGCTTTTGCCTGGCACTGCAAGGATAATAAAGATGGCACAAGACATACTTCCCTAGGGAACATATTCCAGAGGTGAGGTACCACCACTGAAAAGGCCCTTCTCCTGTTTATCACCCTTACGTCTTCATGGGAAGGCTCCCTGAAAAGAACCTCAGTAGCTGATCTTAATGGATGAGTAGGAACATATGGGAACAGGAAATTCTTCAGATATCCTGGCCCTAAGCTGTTTAGGGCTCTAAATCCCTAACATCTATATGAAGCCACTGGGAGAGGTCATCTGAAGGTTTGGGCTGAGGTCTCAGCAATATGCAATTTCTTTTACATCTCATCCAGGTGAGGCTGTCACCATCCTGAACTGGGGCCTGAGCTCGATAATGGACTGGATGAGGGTCAACAAACTGAGGCTCAATCCAGACAAGATGGAGGTGCTACTAGCAGGGGCAGGTAGGAAGGGCATTGCCCTGTCCTAGGTGGGGTCGCACTCCCCCACAGGGTCTGCAGTCTGGGGGTGCTCCTGGACCAGGGTTTGTCCCTGGAATGCCAAGTGAACTCGATGTCCACCGAGCGGTGCTTTCCTTCAGCTGTGGTGGATTTATCAACTTTGCCCCTACCTGGACAGACGGAGCCTGAAAATAGTTACCCATGCACACATCCACAGTAGAGTATTGCAATGTGCTCTGTGTGGGGCTGCCCTTGAAGACAGTCTTGCAATTACAATTAGTACAGAATCAGGCCGCTCAGGTAGTGACAGGAGCTCCTCGAGCAGCCCATATAGCCTATATTGAAAGAGCTGCACTGGTTACCAATTGCGGCCCTAGCCCAACTCAAGGTGCTGGAACTGTCCTGAAGCACCCACACCCATATATGCCTACCTGGCCTTTGAGATCTATGCAGGGAGCCCTCCTGCGTGAACCACCCCTTAGGGAAGCAGGAGAGATGGCTGCTAGGAGAGCCTTTTCTGCAGCTGCTCCCCGTGTTTGGAACACTCTCCCCAAGGAGATTCGCCTGGCACCTTCCTTATACTCCTTTCGGTGCCAGGCGAAGACCTGCCTTTTTAAAAAAGAACATTTGACAGCACTAAACTTCTATTTATATTTTATTTGTTTTTTAATTGATGTAGTTTATTTATTGGATTTATAGGTAATTGCTGTTTTAGTTTTTAATGGTTTTAATTGTCTGATTGTGAGCCACTTAGAGATGCTATGGCACAATAGGCAGCATTAAAAAAGGTAAAGGTTTCCCCTTGACATGAAGTCCAGTCATGCCTGACTCTAGGGGGCGCTGCACATCTCCATTTCCTGGCCGAGGGAGCCAGTGTTTTTCTGCAGACAGTCTCCATGGTCATGTGGCCAGCATGACTAAACACCGAGGTGCACGAAACGCTGTTACCTGCCCACCGAGGTGGTACCTTTTTATCTACTTGCATTTGTATGCTTTTGAACTGCAAGGTGGGCAGGAGCTGGGACGGAGCAACGGGAGCTCAGCCCATCTGCGGATCGAACTGTCAACCTTTCGACCAACCAGCCCAGCAGCTCAGCGGTTTAACCCACTGCACCACCACATCTGTTATAATAGGCAACATACAGATGTTTTAAATGTTACAACATGCACTTTTAATTGGGTCTGGACTTCAACTGTCAGCCAACAAGACTGTCATAACATGAGCTCGTGGGCCAGTTCTCAGTAGTAGGAAAGCTGCCCTATTTAATCAGTTCAGGTTTTTGAATTGTTTTCAAAGGCAGACCCATGTAGAACTAATTACAAGAGTCCAGGCGAGAGGTAGCCAGAGCATGGATATTTTGGCTCCAGTAATAATCAACCACTCTGAGAATCACAGCAGGCTGGCTACCACTATTTCATTTCAGATACATTTCTCCATTCCCACCACAGACACCACTGTTAGTTTGGCTTAAGACTCGAGTCTCCATCCAAGGTGGCAACACGAAGTATTAGTTTCCGAAAACTTTACAATGATTTCCCTGCAGAGATGCAGACCTCACTAGAAGAGCACCAGCCAACCATGCCTTACCATTCCCTATAGTTACTCACCGTGTACATATAACCATGCATGCAATTCCCAAAAGCTGAAGACGTGCGCGGGGCACAGGTCTTATTTTCAAGTATCGATCTACACATCCCACTGTCATGTGGAGACAGAGGCTTGAGAAGTCCTTCATAGTTGCCACTTCTACCAGCCAATCAATCAGAATGTACCTAAAACAAGACACACAACCATCTTTTAAAATAATGTCTCCTCATCTCCCAACGGACAATAGCTACACTACTGTTTTCCTTAAATTTCAAGTATTTCTACCATATTAGACTGATTCAGCAGCTGCGGTCGTATCTGAAGAAACCTGAACTAGCTACAGTGACCCATGCCAGGTTAGATTACTGTAATGGAGCTGCCCTTGAACATGTTTCAGAATGCAACATCTTGAACATTTGTGGGAAATGAGCATTCAGATCATAGCACGCCTGTTCTGCATCATTTAAACTCAGTGCCTTTTGATTTCTGGGCTCAAATCCAGCTCTTAGTTTTGGTCTGTATAGTCCTGAATAGTTTGCATCCAGGTTCTCCGAAGGAATACTAATACCCAAGCATTAAGATCTCTTTCATTTCAGGTTGCATTTGGTGCTTGAAAATCATTAGCTGTCACTAGATATGTGTTTAATTGTAATGACATTGCAGCCTGGCTTAAAGTCAGGCTTAAGTTCTCCTGCCAGACTAGAATGAGACACATGCAGTTTAAAGCTAGAAGCATTTTAACAAGCTGAAGTCAAGTGTTTGATCAGAGGTAGAGGACTTTTTGTCATCACTAAATCCAGCATGCACATCCAAAACAACTGGGTGGAGCGGGAGAGAAGAGACTGCCCCTAATCCCAACTTTCACTAGGCTCATCTTTCCCCAGCTAGTACCCTCCATATATATTGGACTACAACTGCCGCCATGCCACCTTGATGGGGAGTTATAATCCAGCACATATGGAAAGCTTCACAGTTGGAAAAGGCCACGCTAACTGTGGAGCCGAAATTTCCGATATCTAGAAATGCTCATTTAAATGTCTGTTGCTGAAGGAAATGCTCATTTACCTGAAAATGATAGGGTGAAAATTGCTCAAAACCTGTTCAAGTGGGGATGTTCACAACTTATCACAACCCATGGCTTGTCGTTAGGTTTGACAGCTTATAATAGCCACATTTTGATCAGAAACTGACAGTGATTTTAAAGACTTGCAGTATTTTCTTGAAAGTATTATATGCCTTTTCCCCAAAAGAGCGAGTTTAATTCAAAAAGAAAAGAACACTTCCTCTAGTAACCTAGCCGGATGCTTGTCCTCCTATGCAGAGCCACGGTGGGAAAGCAGTCAACAAAAGCTACTTAGCACAGGTAACACTCTTTCCTTTGGCTTTTGGATGGATTAAGGTGCTGGAGCACATCTCTACCTCATTGTTTCATTCATCCCCTTCTGGACAGTGAAGATGCTCTGCTTGTTTAGTGGCACTGAGGTCTGGAAGAGCTGAGACACCATCTCATTGGAGGCTTTTGTTTCCAGTCCAAGTTGGTTCCCATTTCCACAAGCTTTGGCTAGAGCTATCTGTTTAACAGACAAGGCAACCGCACAAATCAAGAGGAAATTGCTCAACTTCGCAACTCAAGGAACAAACAGACTCGTCATTCTGCCAAAGTCAGGAATGCCTTTTCAGTGATGCCAGGAACACAAACACCTGCCACACTTGTGGACTTAAGTAACACAGTCTTCAATACCCGGAGCAAAGCTAAGCTGCCATCAGCACTTGGCAACAGTGTGCAGCTGCCAGTGAATTGCAGTGCCCCCGCAGTGCCAGCATCAGCTTCGGCTCCCCCTTCTAGCTGCAGACTTTTTATAGACAGCAGCTAGAAAACTACCCGCCATACTAAGTTTTCCTCCAACAGCCCAAACTGGCCAATGTTGTTTTACCCCAGAGCACTGTGGGAAATTAAAACAGTAGGAGGCTTTTCCAGGGCACTGCCAGCAAAAAAGCTCTTTGAACAGCGGGGCCCACTAACTGCCACCGTGGCAGGGCCCTCTTCAAATCGGGAGGCAGCCCTAGAAGAAAGGGTTAAGTATGGGATTTTTTCACATTGGGGCCCGATCATTCCATGAAGAAGCACCGGTGCCTGGGTCGAGCAGTCCCTTGAAGAGATATGCACTTGGCTGTGTGACCAGGAAGAGAATGGAACAGAAGCCGCTTGGATAGCGCTCCATGTGTATGCTGCAGCCAAGTAAAAGAAAAGTACTGTATCTCAATTCAAAAACCCCTGTCAGTTCCAGGAGAGGCCATCTTACCTGGGCTTCCCAGGAGCCCTTGGCTGCGTAATCCCTGAGTTTTCTGAGGCTCTGGAGATATCTACCAGGGTCCAACATCTGCAAAGAGATGCAATCATAATACAATACAAGCTGAGTGAAAGACACCTGGGTATTTTACTAACAAAATGCAAACTGCATACTATCCAAGTTCCTGTTCATTTCCAAGTCTAGTTCAACACTGTGGGTTTGACCTATAAAGTGAAATTATGCTTTACCGCCTCCCTTATGTGCCTGCCCATGCTGTAAGGTCACCTGTGGCAGCCCTCCTCTGAGCAGCCCTCATTCTGAAGTTTGGAAGGTGGCTACTAGGCAGATGGTCCTCTCGGTGGTGGCACCCCATGCGTGGAATGCTCCTCCGGGCATCAGCATTGTTTTCTTTCTGTCACCAGGTTAAGCCTGTTTTTCTTCTTTCAGGCTCATTAAATCTCTGCAGCTTTAATTCCTACTACGTGTCAAGGTTGCATCTCCGTTTCTATTTCTTGGCCGATTTACTGCCTCATTTTTACCATACTTTACTGTGATGGCTTTGTATTGTACCTTTCAATCACTTGTGTCAGATTCATATTGTTGAGTTTTAACACCTATGTATTTTATTGAACTCTTAAAATAATTGTGCAATAGTTTTTCTTTCAGACAGACAAACCAAAATGACTCTCAGGCATCCAAAAACCCATTTGCCGGGGTAAGCATCCTAGGCCATTTGGCCAGCAGGACGCCAAACAGCTGCCCCAAACTGCGTTCCTTCCTTCATTACCCCTGCCCATGCCAGCTGCTCAAGAAAGCCTCATCTCTCAGTGGGAACCATACATCACTGGGCCCTGGAAAGCTCTTCCAGCTTTTTACTGTACCTGCTAATGCAATCCCAGCATCTCAGCACATACTCACAGCAGCTTTTCTGTTATTTTCCCAAAGTAGGTAAGCACTGTGCAGGCAACCTTGCCTTGAGGAGATCTCAAACATTTCAAGGGCTTCTTTTCTCTTTTCTTCATCCTAACAACAACGGCAAAAATTATTGCTGCCAACTTTACAGCTACTTTACAGTATTCCAATATTCATTTTAAGTCTTGGATGCAAGCCTCTTCCACAGTTTTGTAGGCCCAACATGGTGGGTGCGGACAATTCAGGGAAGCTATGACATCACTCATTTGGGCCAGAAGTTTCCCTAAATACCACAAATCCCAGGAGATGCTGTTGCTTCCAACTTTCCAAGTCACTGCACAAGGTTTTCTTAGAGCTAAAAAAGATACTTCAAACCCAAGGAGGTCAGATACCAGAATTGTAGGATCTACTCTGTTACTAAAATGTCAAGATTCACCAACAGTTCTGGTACTCAAAACTAATTCCTGGGCTTAAAATTCTTTAATTCTAAATGCAGATCTTTTGCACCATGCTACCACTGTGTGTGTATGTGTGTGCACGTGCGCATACACACATGCACATAGCTCTCTCTTTGACTAAACCTTGTGCAATGGTTTGAAACGGAAGCATTTTTATGGTGGGGGGGGGAGATTCATTGCATGTAGGGAACCCTCTGATCCAGATGAGTCCCACTAAACCGTACACTGTCTTAAACTTTGGGAGATGCTTGCAGTCCTTCAACACATGAGCCCGTGTGGTGTAGCAGTTAAGAGCATGGGTCCCGAGACTCACGTGATCTTGACCCTGGTCAGAACCAAGTGGGTAACTCTGAGCCCAGCCTACCGCACAGGGGTGCTTGCTTATTACAGTCATATGCTGTCCCATAACCCAAAGGACTATCTTGGCAGTTTACAATAAAAACAGCAGCAGCAACAAAAACAGTACAAGAATAAAATTAAGTAAAACAATACAAGAGGGGACACTCAAGGTGAACAAGGTCACAACAAAGCACACAGCAATAGAAATCAGAGCAATGTTAAAAACTGGTTCAGCTACTAAAACAACTGTGAAATAAAAAGTCTTCATCTGGCACCGGAAAGGGAACAGTGATGGCACCAGGCACAACCCCAGAGAAAGCCCTTCTCCTAGCCATTTCCTTTCTCACTTGATTCTTGGGAAAGGACCTCGGTTGAAGATCTTGGTGACTGGATAGGGATATATGGAGACAAGAGGGGACTTGAGACAAGACTGAGAGCAGGAGGAAGAGAATGATCTAAACCATTACAGCAGAACAGACCCATTAAAAATGGAGTCACAAGACAAAACCAGGGTCTGTCTAGTTTCTGCGATTCTACAGTGATGATCCCTGAGGTAATACAACTCCCGATAAAAAGTGCACATAAGCCCCATCCTTCCTGCCCCAGGAACATGACATCAGCCCAAGCCCTTTTTGACTGTAAGAAACTCATAAAATCGTAAAAGGCACACCATGGCAGAACAGTTTCATTAACAAATCTTACCTCAAAGAGGTTTAGAACCTTAGCCAGGCAATAGAGAATCGACCCTCTCTGAGACTAAAACAAAAAAGGTGTTGTGAGAAAACATTGCTATGGAAAGAAATCAGAAGTCCATATTATTGAGTTGTTGTAGATCAAAGCTCCCCAGTGAACTTCCAGAGATGGATCCTTCTACTCACTATTTTTACAAATTAGGTGTGATGCCTAATCAAATCAAGGTGCTCGATTTGGTCTGATCATTCAAGCTGTTGCTAACATCATTGCTCTCAAGGAATTCTATTCCAAAATTGTAGCAATTTAAAGTTAATTGGAAGGAGAGGGAAATGAGACTACCATGGATGGCAAGCTCATGTCTGGTATCTCTGGTGCTCAAAGAGGAGGAAACCAGCAGCCAGCTGGCCCAGGAGAGAAACAGAGAATGGTAGTCCAGGAATAACTTGAAGAGGCAACACATGATGGTGCCTGTTTAGGCTACCTACAGGCACTGTCTTTCAGTTTCTTGGAGGGAGGGTGCAGGGAGAAGGAACTATGTGCCCACCCCTGAAACACCAACTGACATCCACTAAGGGCTTCTCTAAGTATTTTTGGCAGGCTAAACTATATCATGATACATCTTCACAACCATAATGGCTAGAAACTTTTTGTAAAAGACGTGAAAGCAGAGTTTCTCAGGATGCTTGACTGCAGGGAGAGGCACTTGGTGCTCCTTGGATCTTTTGCAGGGCAACTCCTATAATTCCTGGCTATTGGTTCTGCTCACTAGAATCATTTCTCTAATACTTAGAAGGCTATTTGCCTATTTACTTAGAAGTTGTCTATTCTGTTCCACTGTGTGGCTGATACTAAACACGTGAAATTACACCACCCCCATATAACTTTCCTGAGTGCCGGATACCTGGACTTTGGCTACAACCAATTGACTGAAACTTTTCCCTACATAAAAAGCTTCTGCCTGCATCAGTGATAAAGAGAACATAAAGAACAGTCAAAATCTAAAAGCCATGAAATAAGCCTTACTTTTTGCTGCTGACATTCTGCTTTGAGACTTTCATAGACAACAGCTTTGCAGCAGCTTCCACTCAGAGACCAGGGTGGGCGAATGAAAAGCCAGACAAAGGGTGCTGCAGAGGTGTTCAGGTGCTCTGTCAGGCTGAAGAAGTGAGATGCTTTCAGCCCATTTACTTCTGCACGACCCTCATCAGCAACTGATACTGGGCAAGGAATGAATTAATGAATAAGACATACATTTCGGAGTTATTTGGTTGGATTGTTTTCTTTGAGAGCACAGTAATGAGACTGGGGACTTAACAGACACGAAGGCTCACAGGCAATCAAGAAAGGTAGTGCTGTTGCGTCATACAGGCAGAAGTGAGGAGGTTCAACGAACAGACTGTCCTTAATGGAAGGCTGTAGTATAGCACACTCTGTGCAAGAGTGCGCTGTACAATGAATACAGAAAACATGCTGCCATGGGCTTTCACCTCCCAAACACTGCCCTATCCAGTCACAGTCATCTGGATGGTTCTGTGCTTTGTAAACCACCCAGAGCTCCGGCTTCTGGGAGATATAGAAATTAAATAAATCAGGATGGCCCCACACTGAGGGTTCCAAGGGACGGCAACTCCAGTGAGGACAGGGAAATGGCCCCCAAACCCAGCAGACAAAGCTGATTTTCCAACAGCACTTTTGTTTGGCCCGGATTGAGTTTCAATGTATTGACCTTCATCCAGTCCATTATCAAGTACTGATCCAGGACAGAGACCCCATCACCTGGACCAGACGTAAAGGAGAGGTAGAGCATATTGCTGACACCTCAGTCCAAACAGATGGCCTCTCCCAGCAGCTTTATGTAGACATTAAAGAGCATGGGAGATAAGATGGAACCATGGGGCAGAGCAACTATCCCACAGCGCCACCTTCTGGACATGGTCAGCCAGGAAGGAGTGGAACTACTGCAAATCAGTGCCCCTAACCTGCCCATGACAACATCATGATCGATAATGTCAAAAGCCACTGAGAGGTCCAGGAGAATCAACAGGGCACAGCATCTGACCATTAATATAAACTAAAAACCCAATCAAAAATTAAAACAGGAAAATAAAAAGGGTTTGGCTGACACTGAAAATATAAAGCCTTGTTGACGGAGCCTTCCAGGATCATTGGACAATCTGGAGATGGGTTGGGAGGACGGGGTTGGCAACCAACGTTGACTCCTTGGTCTGTACCAATATCAGAGAAAAAGCCTAATATTGCTTCTGGCTGCAGCTGTGTCTGGATGCCCAGAGCCCTGGACATTCACTGAACTTGTTTGGAGAAGCAACCAAAGTCCACCAATAGCAAGGGGGTCCCCAGTATCTACAGCTGCATCTGGAGATGAGAAACTGGGCTGGACAGAAATGCCAGGAAAGGAGAGATCAGTGAAGTGGCGCAGGAGGCAGCTCCATGAGGCAACGGATTTCTGTGGCTGCAGCTGGTCAGGATCATGCTGATGGGACAGGAGGAAGCGGATCCACTGGTTGTCCCCCCTCCCCCCAAATCAGGATGGGTTTGGGGTATGTCAGGGACCATTTCTGGACTGAAATGTCCGTGATCTTGTTTACTTGGCCCGTTTGCCCAGCTTTTTAGCTTGCTTCAATTCCACTACCCTACCAGCAGGAGGAGGGCAGGGAAGGAGCCACGGAGACAGTTGCCAAAGGGGTTGTGGCTGGGGCAAAGCCACAGAGCCCACAAAACTCCCCTTTCCAACCTTGTTCTGAGAGTCCAAACAGCTCCAAGCAAAGTTAGTTATATGGGTTGAGGTAAAATGAAATGCCTAACACAAGCAGAGCAATACAAATGTCTACAGGGAACAGCAGGTGGACAAGATAACTAACTCCCGCAGACCTCTAATGCTTTAGTGATACCAGCCTTCTAAACATTTTATGCACACGCATTTCAGTACAGGCCCCTGATACTTACAGCCTTCATTGTAGAGATAGGCTATGCCAAGTTTCACAGCAGCTTCAAAGTTACCCTTTTCTGCAGCCCTGAGGAGATACACAGGGCTTCCATTTAAAAAGCAAACACAAGAGACACGGGATCTTGAAAATTCCGTTTTGCTTTGTTTTCTTCAACACAAGAAATTACTTGGAACCAATTCATAGACACACGTTCCAATACTTGTCACACCCCCATTGGTGCCTAAATAATCATCTTACAGATGTAAGGTGTGGGTAAAGCAATATCCAACCCTAAACATATCACCAATGCTCCAGCGTAGGGGAGCGGAACCCGATGTGGCCTTCCTGGAGCGCCAAGCTGGCACAGCGGGTTCCCTGCTGGGTCGTAGCCCCCCTTCTGCCAGCTCTTTGTGACTTCCCAGCATTTGCACGATTTCCCCACATTATTAAAGACTGAGATGCCTCTAAGGCTTTGTTACGAGCCATAAGAAAATTACTCAAAATATGCTAGCAACTTGGACAGCTCTTGAAATCTGTCCCTCTAAAGCTTCTCCAAGATGAAATCTGGCCCTTGAGAGAGAGGAGGTTCAGCACTCAAGATTTAAAGGAGAGAATGGGGCCAAACATGTTCTGAATTGTAGGGTTACAATCTTTATTTCACCGTAAAATAGTCAAACCAGGGTAGAGAAAGTGGACCTTTTGCCAGAGGACAAGGCAGGATTTTCTAACATCCCAAGCCATGGGGAAGGCCGATCAGGATAACATACAGGCACTAAATATTTTCTTTTATCTACAGAGACAGTTTCTCCAAGTCATTTGGAGAACATGACAATTGCACTGTCTGCACAAATCACAGGACACCTAACGTTGTGGGTTTTCTGCAAAGTGTTCTGCTGCCATTAAAAAAAAAAAATCCAATCAAGATCTCATTTGGCATGATCATTTGTCTTACATTTAAAAAACAAAAGGAAAGAAAGTTTCATAAATTTTACATGCCTTATAAATATCTAAAAAAAATTCTAGTAGTCAAAAACCCAATGAAATATACTTCCATGTTGAGATATTCAAACAAATCCAAAGCTTTATTTTTTAATACAAAACTTGTAAATATTTAATACATCGCAAATGAGAAACATATAGATTGTATGGATTCTAGTAAGGGGAAGGAAGCCCGCCTTTCTTCAACGTACTTGGAAATAATGCATATAAGTTGTCAGCAATGTGGAATAGGACGCTTCCCACAAAAGAGGTCCTCTTCCATTTGCAGAAGAACTTTTGATCCTTTTGGGAGGTCCCCACTAACAGAAGCTGCTGTTAATCCCATGCCTGTTCCTTGAGAAACTGCTCTGGAAGGCTGGAGAATCATATGGTCCAGCATGAGGGGCAAGATAAGGGAGAGAAAAGGGATGGGTGAAAAATCACCTCTACTTTCCTTCCCTTCAACTGAATCAAAAGTACTTGCAGTTATCTCAGATGCACAGGTACTTAGGCATATAGCTCTTCAAGCATGCTAAATGAACTAGATTAAGTTTCTTTGTACAACATATATTTCAATGGCTTCAATCTCCAGTGCTCTGGTTGCCATAAATCAGACAGGATTTGTTTGTTGAAACAGAATGAACTAGTCTTCAGAAGGTAGCTAAGTGAGGCGTTCCACATGAACAGTGGCCCTACGGGGGGCTCTGTTTTTACAGTGCTCCAGCAGAACCAAAGCTTCAGTGACAGTTGAAAAATTCAGAGGGAAAAAAACCCTCTTTCAACCAGCTTAAAGCTCTGATTTCCTATGGACAAGCAAGCCCAGAGCACTTAAAATGATTCAGGGCTGTCAGCCACTGTTCTCAAATACAATCCAAGTATGGGACCTTGCCACATCTTGTTCCCCTTAACTTTGGTATTTCTTAAGTTCCTATGAGTTACCTTTCAAACATGTTCAAGTTGCTTGGAGAAGGCCACACTTCTTGAAAACTTGCACACGCCCAAACACTAGCATGGTTATCTACAAGGTACTTAAGATGAGGGTGCACCTGAAAGAGATAAGCCGCTTATTACAGCTGAGGTGGTGTCAAAAAGCCTATTTAAAGGTCACAAAACCTAACACAAAAGCTAGAGCCCACAACCCGCATTGCATTGCCCATGTACAGGCAGAGAACCAAACGAGGGGCATATGAAATACATGGATTTAAGTGCCTTCTTCCTTTCTTTAATTCTTAAGAAATAGTCACGGGAAACTCTCAGGATTAGCACTGCAAGCCAAGGGAAAGATGGTCAAGCCTCCCCTCACATGCAATGCCCTTGGCAAAGTTGCTCCTTCACCTGGGAAAGGGGAGAGCCGTCAGCTCCCCACCATCACCGTCTGCCCTTCATGACTGCTGGATGTTCTCTCTAATGGCACGGGCATTGCGCCTTCGGACACTCGCTACTAAGAGCACAGGAGGGAGGTGCTGCTGCACTTGCATCCTCCTTGCAGGCTTCCCTCAAACATCTCTTTCGTCCTTGTGTCAACAAAATGCCAAACTAGACAGGCTTCTGGTCTGATTTAGCACAACTCGTTTTCTTACAGCTATTTTTTTAAAAGTAAAAGATATTAAATGGTTCATGCAATTATTTTAGCACCATGTTTGACCTTGAAATGTAGAGAAACTCGAGACAAGCTTGTGACCCATGCCACTCCAAAACCCTAGACAGAAGTAGCAGCATGAGATGGAAATTTTTCCAGAACAGATTTTCCCATGCTCTAGTTTCCCTCAAAATCTTGCATTCCTTATATGGCTGAGTTTGTCTATGACCCTCTGGGCTGTTGTACTGCAGTCCATCATGTTAGATGGGAAAAATATAGGATATGAATTTCTCTAAGTTATTGTTCTAAGGCACACCTTGACAAACCCTAGTGCTCAGTTGTCCATTGGGAAACTGGAGGAAAAAAGCAACAATTCTTCCCTATGCACAATGCAGTTGGCTCCTGGCCAGACCTATACATGGTACATTTGCCCTCTGTTATTGCAGAATGCTAGCAATAAAGACAGACCAACTGCTGTTTGGTTGCCTTAAAAAATGAGATATATATAAGAGAAGCCCCGGATCAGACCAAGGGTCCATCTCATCCCACTTCCTGCTCAGAGTGGCCAGGCAGCGGCCCGTGGGATCCCACAAGCAGGACAAGAGCACAAAAGACCCTCCTGCCCAAGTTCCCTGAGCTGATACCTACAGACCACAGCCATCCTTTAGTGAAACAGGGTCAGCTAGTAGTTCCAAACCAGATTTTTCTCAACTTGAAATCCTAATGCATCTTTTGGAGCAAAAATTAACATAAGACCCGGTCTTATTTTCGGGGAAACACGCTATGAAGGTGTTTGAATATAACATTTAAGTGGTATCATATAGTTAATTTTCCCCAAGCTAATATTTCAGTATTTTGTAAATATTGGAAAAACTTTTATATACTGCACATAAAATTGACATGGATTATATTTAGTTCTGTTTACTAGATATCAGATATTCTATGTGTCTATTGTGGGAGAATTTATGTTGGGGTGTATATGAGTCAAAGAAACAAGTTCAATAAGTTAACATTTAGACCATTGAAAAAATTTCTAGTTCTACTTCTGGAAAACCCAGAAAATCACTGGCAGACATTAACCCCCTGCACTGAGGATCTAACCTTGTTCCCAGCATGACCAGGAAAGGACAAAACAGAGTAGAGCTAATTTAGTAAGAACTAAATTAAGTACTTAAAGTAATTAAAATTAAGTAAAGTAAGCAGCAGTGGGTAAAAGAGGGAGCTTACAACTCGGAGGGAAAGGAGATCTTCAGCAGGTAGCCCCTTAAGAACATGGAACAGAACATCTTCAGGAAGACACAGCAGTGTGAGGACTCTGGGTCTCTTTCTCAGCCTTCGCTTTGAGGGAACCAAAAAGCATCTGGAGCATCTACAGTGGATCACTAAAACAAGCACAAATCACCAAAAAAGAGATGATATAGAAGCACTGAAACACAAAGCAATATTCCAAATCAGTTCATAAGCAGGCATCCTTAATAGAATTGCATGGTCTTTCCAGCAACATAATGGACTCTCACTGTGGTTATAAAACAGATTCTGTTCCAGGGTGAAATATTATGGCACAGTTCAGTCATTTATTCTGAGATGCAAGAGATGGGGCCAAAAGGACTGACCAAACCAATTTCAACAGTACATTTTGCTTCCACCCACAGCATTCTACCTGGAATATATCCTCAGCAATTCATACGTAGATATGTTTTGACACATTCTTAATTCCCTGGTACCTCAACCAAATGAACCTGAATCTCTTCCAAGCCTTCCGCAAAAACAGGTCCTGCCAGACAAACCTTGTGGAATTCTATGACAAGGTTTCAAGATGGCTAGATGGAGGGGATGCAGTGGATGTGGTATACCTGGATTTCAGCAAGGCCTTTGACAAAGTGCCCCATGATATCCTGGTGGAGAAACTGAGGAGTTTTGGGATACACCAAAGCACTGTCCGGTGGATTAGGGCATGGTTGACTGACTGAAAGCAGAAGGTAACCATTAGCGGGGAATCATCAGGATGGCAGCCAGTGACAAGCGGGATCCCCCAGGGCTCTGTCCTGGGGCTGATCCTGTTTAATCTTTTCATTAACGACATGGAAGAAGGGGTGAATAGTCTGCTGATCAAATTCGCAGACGACACTAAAACTGGAGCAGTGGCCACAACTTAGGAGCAGGTACTCCAGATCCAAAAGGATCTGGACAGACTATGGAAGTGGGCCGGAGACAACAGGATGGCGTTCAATGTGGATAAGTGCAAGGTCTTGCACTTGGGGCATAGGTATAGCTGTCATAAGTACAGGTTAGGTGATAAGTGATGTTTATTTATTTTATTCTTTGGCCAGGGCGACTTAATTTATACTGTTAATTTATATTATTTTAACGAAGTTTATTTATGTCTGTGAGCCGCCTCGAGGCTTCGGCGAATGGAGCGGCATAGAAGCTTCCCAAATAAACAAACAAGTGGCTGGAGAGCAGCACTTGTGAAAGGGATCTCGGGGTGCTGGTTGACTGCAGGCTAAACATGAGTCAGCAGTGTGATGCGGTGGTCAAGAGGGCGAACGCCACCCTTGGTTGCATAGCCAGAAGTGTGGCATCTGGATCAAGAGAGGTATTACTCCCACTCTACACGACTCTGGTGCGCCCGCAACTGGAGTATTGTGTTCAGTTCTGGGTCCCTCATTACAGAAAGGATATAGCCAGGTTAGAGTCAATGCAGCGCAGGGCCACAAGGTTGGTGGCCGGTTTGCAGGGGATGCCGTATGAGGCGAGACTGAGCGAACTGGGTCTCTTCAGCCTGGAGATGAGGAGACTCAGAGGGGATATGTTGGCGACATACAGTTTGTGAGGGGATGTCACATGGAGGTGGGTAGAGACCTGTTCTCCCCTGCAGAGGAAGGCAGGATGCGCTCCAACGGAGCAAAGCTCAGGGAGCCAAGGTTCCCTTTGGATGCCAGGAAGCACTTCCTGACAGTCAGGACCCCGAGGGTGTGGAATGGGCTTCCCCAAGAGGTCGCTGAGGCCCCATCAGTGCGGATGTTCAAGGACAGGCTGGACGTCCACATGGTGGGCATGTCGTGAGTGGAGCCGGCTGGTGCCGGTGGTCAGACTAGATGGCCCAGGAGACCCCTTCTGACTCGCTCTGTTTTCTATGTTCTAGGTTTCTGCACATGCTATAGAAGGCAAGGAAAGCAGCTGGTGGCAACCACAAAGTTCATTGCCCCAACAGTAAGCCAACTCTCTTCCCTACCCCTGGATGTCCAGTATTTCCTGTCTAAGCCCAATGCACCCTCATTCTACCCACCAGCTTCCTGAGATCATTCGCTGAGGTGCACACCTCAGGGAAACCAATAGCAGTAGCCTAGGTCAGGAAATGCCTGATTTATTTAAGGTTCTGGAATGTTTAGAATTTGTTATCTCCACACTACTGCATCCTGAAACCAGTTTTAAGTGCCATAGCCCACTTGCCTGCTTCTCGCTCCCCCTCTTTAGACACCCCCATCCAATCCACACAGCAAATGTTCAGCAGTGGTCCAGGAACTTCCGTAAACCATTAAATAGGCTTGAAATTATTTTAGTTATGAAGTGGTTGTTCTGGGGCTGTCCAAACACCAATGGATTGTTGTGCTGCTCAAACCTGGGAGTGCAACTTCACCTTGGAGTGCCAGGAGCAGCAAAACCCTTTGCACCCCTTCACCATCACTGTCACTGCTTGTGTCTAGGCCCAAACACCCCTTTAGGGTGACTACCACTAGTTCTTTTTCAATCCCAGAAAATTGCACACATCTATTCATAATATTTTTAAAGTAGTTCTTTTGCCTGCTTGTCATTTTCTGTCTGATTTTTTTTACTCTTTTCTGGACTAACTAGTGCTAAGGTAGAGTAGGAAACAAAGGAAACTAACAAGGCAAGACTGCATATAGGCAAACTTGCACACAAGTGACAGGAATGGGTGGGGGGTTGAATAATAAAGGATGGGAAGAACCTGTTTGTGCCATGGAAACACACCAGACACAGGGAAAACAAGGTGAGAAACAGAAGTAACAAAAGCTCCTACATATGTAATTCTCTTGATTCTTAGTATCCCCCACGTTTTCAACACTTCCAAGTCTGCAGCTCATCCAGGAAGGGTGGATGTTAGCTCCTCTACCTTTTTTGGACGGTCACTGACTTCCCTGACAGTTCTTAAAAAACCAACCAACCAACCAGCCCCAAGGCAGCAGACGACCAATGCTCCATGGGAGGCGCTCTATTTGCTCTGTCCCATTTTGCTATATAATCATTTTCCCCTTTAACAGTCGGAAATATTTGGACAATGTTGGGAATTACAGAAATCTAGGCATAGTTAATGACTGGGAGGTAAATCAGGGTGAAATCTGGATGCCTGCAATAATTTCTCTAGGGTGGGGCAACAAGAGTGGCTCATGGTGGGAAACTGCAATGGACCAAGGCTTCCTGGCAGACACCCACCCAAAAGAACACACAGATGCTCACATGTGACTATTTACACGGGCTTCTTCCTGTTCAGAAAATGTATGTGGCAAAATCCAGTCCAGAGTCACTTTTACAGATCTACTGATAATTCAGCCCCACAGAATGCTATGAAGTTTACTCCTAAGTAAGTGATACAGGATCACAGTCTTAAGATTGCATTCTTGTACATGCTTCAGGAATTCAGTGGAACTTAATTCTGGAATAAGCATGTGTATGAAGAGCAATTTGAGATGTACAGTGCAAATGCTGGCTCAACTATGCACATGCTGGCTCAACTAAGCCCCACTGCATGAATGGAACCTACCCTCAAGGCACCCCTTGAATTACCCTCCTGCAATCAATAGGACTTGAAAACTGTTCAACTTTGTGTCCATAGAACATAAAGCTGCCTTCTAATTGCTTGCAAGTCCTCAAAGGCAAGAAAATCAAGCTGTGGGAAAGTGCACAACCAATATAAAGAATGCTGCATGTCAAGACACAGTACCTATTTAGGGAAGTAGAGGTTGTAACATTGCCAAAATATCTGAATTCTATCTGAATTGTATTTCCTTTTCCACAGAAAGCAAGCCCCCAATTGTTTAAGGGCAGTTAAGCCAATAGATATTAGTTCAACTTTCAATCTGCATTCAAAAGTACCTACAAAGTGTTCATTGAAAATACTGCTAACACATTTTGTATTTATGACCCAGCTTTAACATTTTTAAACAAGGGTATCACCCAACTCTTCATTGCAGATGCTAAATTAACCTACATTTCGCTTCGCAAGCCTATGCCTGTGCAGTTTTTTTAAAGAAAACAAGGGAGTTCGAAATGCAAGCAAGAAATATTCTACAATTGTCTTCGATGCCCTTGCAGAAGCTTCAAGCCAATCCCCTCCCCCTGCGGGCAGTTCCTGCCCCACTATAGGCTCTGCTTACTTTTTAAATCCACCCGCCGAAATTACTGGGGCACCCTCTCCTTGAGATTTTTTTTTTTTTTTAAACACACACCTTCCTTAAACCCTTCCTTTAATTCCAATAGGTCGGGAAAAGTACAAAGGTCGGAAAGAACGACAAAGTCACCCGAAACAGGTCCCGTATAAATGACTGCCTCCAATCTGACCACTCTTCGAAAGCCACTACCTTACCCTGTAATCGAGGCAGTTGCGAGCTTCAAGGTATTTGCCCATAAAGGAATATAGGGGCAATTTAATATCCTTGGAGCTGATGAGTTCCTCCTCCGACAGTCTTTTCTACTGACCTAAATACCTTTGTAACCCCATTCATATTTCGCAGGCTGCCCCATAACTAGACTTCTAGGACAACTTAACAGAAAGGGTGCATATTGACTGGCTCAATTTGGACCACGCTTTCAACCAAAAAACTGGCACTCAAGGTGATCATATTTTGCATAATTACTACGCACTCGTGAAGCCCTATCAAGATTTATTTGGAAGTAAACCCCATCGAATTTAGATAAATTTACTCCTAGACGAGCATGCCCTTTTAAACCCATGATCCTAACTAAAACGCGCTTTTACTCAAGGAGACCAACTCCATCAGGTTAAATGGGACCTTCTCGCACACCTAGAAGCCTGCATAGGCTTCAGCTCCCTTTACTGGACAGGGTAGCGCTTTCCTTGGCCAAACACAATTTAAGAGATTAAACTGGAGCGTTAGGGTGGGAGTTGTCTAAGGCTGCCTTCCCACATCCAGTTACCTGGCAGTCAACCCCACTGAACTGAAAGGGGTTTACTTCTGAGTAGACATATCTAGGCGGTCAGTTTTTAGCCCTACAGTATAAACCTGAACGCTGCCAGGAAGTGTAATAGACAGTTTTCCCCAGCCCTGACGCGCTCCCAATGTGTCGGACTCCATCTCGCATCACCGCCCACTCGGCAAACATGGGGGGCCGCGATTGATGGAAGTTGGAGTCCAACACTTCCGAAGGGCGCCAACTTTGGAGAAGGCTACACTTACCTCAGTCTCTCGAGGCGCAAAATGAGAGCGATGCCTCACTTTGCTCGTGCCGATCTATGGGTCATCCCCCAACTTATAACTGCACCCACATACAGCCCAGGCCCGACGCCCCAAGAATAGGCACTCACCACCCGCTTTCATCCCTGCCGGCCCGCGCGTCTCCAGAGAAGGAAGAGAGTTCGTGGGCACCACTTCGCAGTAAGCGCCGCGCCGCGCCGCGCCGGCTGGTGGGCGGTGCCTATTCCGGTTCTGCCCCGCTCCTCTCCACTATAAAAGGGAAGAGCCGCTGCCCCGCCTTCCTTCCCAACCTCAAGCCCCGCCTTCAATGATGAGTAACCAATCGCTTCGGGCAAGGCGGGAAGTGAGGCTAAACCACGCCTCCTGCTTCTTTCCCAATTTGCCTCAGAATGCATCACACCTAGCAACCGCGCGCTCACTTTTTCAAACACAGCTTGGCTTGTGATTGGGCGGTAGGCGGGGTAAAGAATACGGTCGGTCTGGGACTTTGGATAATCATTGGGCGAGGCGCGAGGCGAATTCGAATTGCGGGGCGGTTGGCGGTTCGAATGCCTCGCGGGGAGCTGCGTTGAGGCGCAAGCGCAGACGCGAGGGGTTCCTCGGTTGCGAGAGGCGCTGCAGTAGCCCAGTCCGTGGAGTCAGTTACATCCTCAAAATAGCGCACTTTCGAAGAAGCGTTTGCCGGCTCAGAGGCCACATCCTCCAGACTGGTGCTTCTTTCAGTGTGGAGTGATCTCTTTTTGATCACGGAAGCGAAGCGGGAAGCAGCACCCTGCTTCTGTGAGGACAGCGAGGTTAAAGAATAGGAGGGGGAGTAGCTTGTTCCCCCTCTTAATGTCCTGTAACCACGCGGTCTGCTCGACAGAGGAGCAGGGTGTGTGTAAGAAGGACAGAGCCCCGAAGCATTTTAAAGATGGCCTTTTTTTTAGGCAAAAGCTTGAGCATGAAAGCCCATGAGATCATGTCCACGACGTGCTGTGAGGGCTCCTAGTGTGGGTGGATTTAAAAGGCAGCTAACCACCTTCATACAGGAAAAGGCAATCGATGAAGATGCTTGATTGACCTTTCTCTGGGCAGTTTACAGCAGTAATCACAGAATCATACACTCATGGAATATGTGTAGAGCGTGTTACAATAATCCTATCGGGAATTTACCAGAGCATGTGCCACCATTGCCAAGCAGCTCTCGTCCAGGTAAGGACGCAGCTGATGGATGGGGCAAAGCTGGAGGAAAGCGCTCCTCCCTGCCGCTACCACCACCACCACCTCTGAGCCTCCAGGGCCAGCTTTGGGTCAAGGAGCACTCCCAAGCTGCGGACTCTGTCCTCTGAATGAACGCAGCCCCATCCGGGACTGGGCCAAAATCACTCACCTGGAAACTCGAGCCACCCACCGAAAGGACTTTCTGGATTGAGCCTCAGTTTATTGGCCCTCATCCACTCGGCCAGGCACTGGTTAAGGACAGCCACTGTCTCAACTGGATTAGATGTAAAAGAGAGGTAGAGCTGGGTGTCCTCAGCTCTAACAAAACCAAACAGAATCCCTGGCCCGGCCCCGCCAGCCCCAAATGGCTCTGTGGCCTTTGGCCCTCACCCCGTCCCCTACAGCTGGCCCCTGCCCCCCCTACAGCTGCCCCCCACCCGAGGGAGGAGGCAGTGAGGGCAGGGCCCATGGAGGCCTCTGCCCACAAACATTTAAATATCTGCTTTCACAGATGCACAAAGGAAAAAAGGATGGAAAGGAAAGAGGGAAAAGGCAAGACCAGACACCAGTTCTTGGTGTCAGAAGCTACACTTCTAATAACAACAGGAGCAGATGCCACTGGGTGGCGAAAGATGGCAGACCAGAGACTTGCTGGTCTCTCAGTCCAAGGCAATTACTCTGCAACCCACTGGAAGAAAACAAGATTCTCTCTGAAGTGGTAATTCTCACAATGGGGTGCCACCACCAAAAAGTCCTATTTCAAATCATCATCCACCTTACCTCAGATGACAGTGAGAAATAAACAATTAACTCTTTTTGCACAACCTCCCATGCGTTTTACTCTTGATTCTATTTACAATCAGTTCTGGTCTACACATATTGTACAAAGAGACTATATAATAGCCTGCAATTCATACTATGTTGTGTGTACTGGGCAAGGGAAGGGGCTCATATACTGTAATGATTTTGGTATGTTTGTTTTGAATATTTATATGCTGTTGCTTCAAGCAAAAAAGCTTCCCAGAGCAGTTTACACAATAAAAGGGGCTATGACTCCCACCTCCAAAATATGTTTGACTGTAAAACTTTTGCTACAATTTTTCTTCTGTCTCCAAAGAATGGTCCTCCATTTTGTCCATTCCAAGTCCTATTTCAAAAAAAGGATCCAGAGAGAGCCCAAGGATTTTGAAGATGCTTATCCTAGCACTTGGGCAGCAAATTGACTCAGCAAGCCCAAGCCACCCCATCACTCAGTTATTCCTTTCTGTTGTGGGATGTATGAATGCTTATTTAAATTATAGTCACTATTTCTAAATTTTCATCTAATACATATGAATCGGCGTATTACATTTTTTAAAAAATCTGCATCCTCTTTCATGCTTTTTTGTGGCAATGTATTTCCTCTTTTTCCACAAAGCACCCCCCCCCTTCATTGAACAGAATGTTCCTTAATTCATGTAAGTCTCACTGGACAGATGGTGTCATATCATCAGCTCCTGGTTCTCTGAACCCTCGGTGGAGGAGTTGATGGGAGGAAGGTGCTATTAAAAACTCCCCAGTGTTCTTTGTGTAATTGTTCCTTTACCATACCCCCAATGGTCCTGTCTTGGAAGTCTGAAACCAAGTTCCAGGCCTGGCTAACCCAAAAAGGTACTATTCAAGGCAGGGGGGCTTTCTCCACACCCGAGCAGATGGCATCTACTGAATGTTCCCCTACATGAAAAATAGAAAAACGGCACAATAAAGGAGTTGACCAGTTCTGGATGTGTCAGTTAAGTGATCCTCATTCCAGACAAGATAGAGGGCTACTGCAAGAGGGCTCTGCAAGCAGGTCCTTCCCTCTTCATCGGATACCCTTTCTGTGTTGCAAACTGTGTCTTACTGTACAAGGCTGGAAGACTGAAGTCTATGGTATCCATCTCTGATCCACAGGAAAGCTGAATCTAAATCTGTTAAAAGCTGGCAAAACTTGGGACCATTTTCATGCAGCCACAAATTACATTTTAAGAGAAGGTCCATAGCTGTTATTTAAAACAACCCGAAGATACACAGATGTGACTACACAGTGACACACTTAGCCTGAGCCTGCAAATACTTTCGGAAGCGCATCCTAGGATCATATGAGTCTCTCTTGTACCACACCAGATCTTCTCAGCATGAGGTATTCACTGTGCATTTGTGATCCCTCACTCACAGAAGTTTGTGGGGCCTTTTCATAGCACTGTCATTCTCCAGGGCCTCTTTGCTGCAATTATTCATATGTTTTTAGAACACTGCAAACCCAAACCTAGCAGAATGAAGGTCAGCTGCAAAGATTGCAATTTCACTATGTTGCAGCTATACCAAAGTATAGTTGGTTGATTAATAAAATCTATAGAAAGGCAGCAAAATACAAACCCTAGGAAAAATCCCATCTAAAGGATGCAAATTAATGGAAGAAGCAGCTTCAGTAAAGTGCCGACCTAAATGCCCTTTCATGAGAAGCTCTTTATCCATTTATGGTGGCTCAGTATTATCTAGCTTGAAAGGCAGCCATTCCCAATGGCCTAAAATAAGGAGTTGTGCTCCACCACTAAGCCACTGATCTTTCCTTGTTGCCGGCCTATTGCTGCTGTTCAATTCTCCAAGCACCTTTAATATTTGGGGGTGGGGGATGACTTCTAGGATCAAACAAAAGAAATGCTCCATCAAGAGCTGCCTGGAAATTTCCTATATTTTATGAAACACCAGTGACTCATCAATGAAAAATACTCAGATACAGTAGGTAAACTTGATTCTTTTTCAGGGTAATTTAAGAATATAGTATTTAGGAGGGAAACAATTAAAATGACAGCTACATGAAAACACTGCAAAACCAATATATTATTCTACTTATTTCCTCCTGAAGATTTGAATAAGTTATATTCATAAGCACTTTTATATAAAGTAGCTCTATGAATAAGATATACATGTCTGGAAGGACATGTGTGTAGCACAACATAACGCTAATGTGCAAACATTAAGGTTTCTCTGGAGAGAGCAGTTAGATGCAGAACTCCATTAGAGTAGCTGCCAACTGATGGGAACCTGAGGTCGTCAGTAGAGAGTAAGTCATCAGTAAAATTAACCAGATAATTTTGGACCAAGGCAGCCCATACCCCTTCCTCTCCTCTGCCACCACCCAGGTTTCCCTAATTTTGGTGGCAAACATGACACTTGTAATAGCTATGGATCAGCCAAAGGGCCAAAATTAATTCACTTACAACATTTGACATGCTAATATCAGCCTCAGAAATTTTCATTTTTTTCAAATTTAATTTTTGGTATGCACAGAGAGGGAGGAACAGAAATGGGAGGGCGGCATAAAAATGTTTTAATAAATAAAATAAATAAACTGATTACCACTGTTTTAGATCCTGGAGAGTGGCATGAGAGTGGCATTTCGATGCCACATGTGGCACACAATTAACATTTCCTTCCTCCAACCCCTACATTCTAGCATCCACATTCCTGCTATGTTAACATAATAACAATAACACAGTTAAGGGAAGTACGTTGAGCATCTATAGTTTTGCATTTCAAACTAATTTAAATCATATCACCATTTTGACTACAGGAATACAGTGAAGCTTGCTTTGGCTGGCCTCATGTGTTCCTCACCTTTCTGGTCAAATCTTTTCAGGCTGCAAGTGCTGCTGATATCTGTATGTGCAACATAGCTTAGGGTATAATAGCTTCTGTTAGGGATCAGATCAGAACTGATATAGAAGTGGTGCTGGATTTGGGCTGGTTAGCCCAAACTTCATAATTGTTGAGGATTTGTCCCTTAAAGGGGTTTGGTCTCTTTGGGCAGCTTGAAGCTGCAGTAAAATGGACATGGTCGTGGCATACAAATGTCCTCACGGCTGAAGACATCTGAAGATGGCAAAGCAACTTTTGTTGGATGTAGGTGAATTGAGCCCTGAGATCTTTCTGGAGGACCAGGTCCTGAGAAGATAGAA